TGCAAAAATGATCAAATTTTGCTAAATTATGCAGGGTGCAGAAAACCACAGGGACAGCACTATGGTGCACTTTGAGACAATGTGGTGAAACGAAAATGATGAGACAGTATGGTAAGACAGTATTCATGACCTCAGTGCTTTCTTGTCGTATCTCCATTTATTTTAACATTGAAAATGTGACTTCTTCTTGAGCTCACTCTTTGTGATGTGATGAACTGTTTTCATTGTTTAAAAAAAATGCTGATGCAACAAGAAAGCACTGAGGTCGTGGTATGGTGGGAGAGTATTGTGTATTGGTGTACGCTGAAACAGTATGATTAGACAGTATGGTGTACGGGGAGACTTTCTCTAACAAGCCGATGAATTTTTGTCATTTGTGCAGGTCCCAGGCCAGAGTGATGCAGGAAAATGGTGACATCCTTCACCCAGACAGGTTTGGTCTCCTGCTTAGGAACGCCAATGCCATGGGGGACATTCGGGATTGTCCGGTGAGTAGTGTAGCATATAACATAGATCTATGTCAGTGAGTGTGTGTTTTTGTGTGTGTGTGAGTGTGTGTGTGTGTGTGTGTGTGTGTGTGAGTGTGTGTTCTTGTGTGTAGGTTGTGGGTGAGTGGGTATTTTCATGTGGGCGAGTGTGTGTGTTTTTTTTTTGTGTGTTTGGGTGAGTGTGTGTTTTTTATGTGTGTGTGTGGGCGAGTGTGTGTCCTTGTGTTTGGATGAGTGTATTTTTGTATGTCGGTCAATTTGTGTTTGTGTATGTCGGTGAGTGGGTGTTTTCGTTTGACAGAGAGATTATCTGCCTATATGACTTGACACATTACGTCTCTTTGTCCGTGCAGGGAGCGTGTGGCAAGAAAGTGCAGATCAGACGGACTCTGCTCAATTATCCAGATGTTGGTGAGTCTTTGTGCAACTTGTTAATGAGGTGTTTTTTTTGTGTTTTATTTTTTTGGTTAAATTAATTTATTAATTTATTTTGTGGGTTGGGGAAAGGGAGGGGGGTAATTACGATTACAATTAAATCATTCTAGTTTTACAGATGTAAAGTCTGTTGTCTTTCTGCTCGTAACGAAACGTGATAATTAACTTGTTATACAAATTTTTAATAGGTGCTCTGGTATGGTTTGCTCCTTCTTTATTTTCAAAGATCTATCATCCTTATGACTCCTCTTTTTTTGAATATATGCAACCTATGCCACTCTCTAGTAACACCTCTAATTTTCAGCATTTACATGACATACTTGTGTTGCAAGTGTTGTAAAACTCGTACAAAGTGGGTGGTTGGCGAGTGCTGTGGTGTGGTTTGCTTCTTCTATCCTATCAAACATTTATCGTCCTTATCTCCCCTCCTTCTTTTTTATGTTTGTTACTCTCTTGTAACACCTCTAATCTTCTAATGCTCATATGACCTTTTGCAGTTGCAAGCGCTGTAAAACCTCTACTAAAACAAACAAACTCGTACAAAAACTAAAACTACACCCCCCCCCCTCCCCCTTAACCCTTTCTATCTCCAGTAAGCATCGGGCTGGTGTGGGATTCTGACCACCCATCGGTGGAGACCACCACGGAAGTCGCTCGCAACATCGGGACCAACATCCTCATGCAGGACGTAAGTTCTCGCACATCATTTTGTGGTTGGTTGGCAGGTGCTCTGGTGTGGTGTTTCTCCTTCTTTCAAATCGAACATCTTAGTTCTACTCTATCTCTCCTCCCTCTTTTCTTTGTATGTAACATGCCTAATCCTTGGCACTTATTTATGTTTCAAGTGACGTATAACAAAAAATACTTTTAAAACTGAAACAGTTCTTCTTGTTCTCTTCTCCTTTGGAAGTTTTTGTTGCTAGATAAACATTATAGTTTTAGAAACTGATCTTGATAATTAATACCAGTTGCTTGATTTGGGACAACATGCAATTAGGAGTTCTGTTCTGCATCTATAAAGGACAAGCATTTTTTCACATCATGGGAACAAAGTTAGTCATCCCATGACGTAAAACAACTGGTAACTCTCAACTGCTTTTTTATTTTTACCTTGCATGCTCTAATGTGTTATCTAACTTACTGATGTCATGGGCAGCATCATGGTTGTGTTGACGGTTAATGTTGGTATATGGACTGTCTGTTAGGTTATTTATAGACTCAAGTTTATGTCACTATCTGGACAAATGTGTTATAATATGGCCTTGAGTGCAGATAAACAACCACTTCAACATGGCTTGTTGTATTGGCAAGGGGAAAAATTTTGTGAATCTTTTTCTTAATATATTTAGGGAATAAATAGAAGCTGACAGGATTCCACAATTCATTTGTTGAGCTTTCTGTGAGTCTACAATACATTTTTGGAGTCTTCCACGTTTCTTCAAGTAATTTCTTGACTTTTCCCTGTCTGTGTCCAGAATTCATTTTCTTAGTTTTCCATGTTGTATTATTTTTGTGTGTGGTCTGCAGGTGTTCCACTCCGTGATGCAAGACCTACGCAGAATGCCCAAGCTGCAGCTGGTGGGGCTGGTGTGCTACTACGGCAAACACTACTCCACATTTGTGTTTCACAGCAAGCTGCAAGTCTGGATCTATTTTGACGACGCTACGGTCAGAGAGGTAAGTGACGAGTCAGAGACGTGGGGACTAAAGTACAGCAGGCCGTGTTAGCTGAACATGCTGTAGGGCCTACTACTGCTTGCTTGCTTGCTAAACCATTGAAACTTATTGTTGATAGATAGATGCCTCATACCATTGTGATTGGTCATCAAAGTTGACCGCTCATTTCTTGCCAGATGTCACAAACCCACCTTGGGGTCATGTCAGTACATTTCAGAGGGAGGGGGGGCTATTTCACTGATAATGGGCCTGATCATGAGTCACTGTTGGGGCTTTGGATAAAATCCTAATTGCCTGAGATCTTGCATTTTCCTTGCTCCCAAGCTCTGGGATCTTTGGCAGAGACTACTCTACATGTATATATATTTTTTGTTAATAACAAGGTCAGCAAAAAGTGGGTTTTCCGTACTAGCTTTATGTAGCCATGGTTATTATTAGTATGTCTTATACATTATTATAGTGTGGTTATTGTTAATGTTTGTATATATATAGTGTGGTGTTGTGTCTGTGTCATGTTGTGACTATATATAGCATGGCTTTGTTTCGTCCCCACAGATCGGCCCGCGCTGGGAACATGTGGTGGACAAGTGCAGCAAGGGACGTTACCAGCCGCTGCTCCTGCTCTACGCAAACCCGAAGGCAGATCCTGTCTCCGTGGAAACTGCACCCAAGAAGAGAGTTATGGCCCCTGGTTATGGGATTCCAGGTGAGTGGATGGTTGGTTAGGACATTGGGGGGAGGGGGGAGGGAGGAGGAAGAAGAAAGAGGGAGAGAGGGAACAGGAGGAGGAAGGGAAAATAGTTTGATGCTCATGCATGTCTACGTGACAATGCCAGGGCTCATGGCCTTGACCATAGTCCCTTGTAGTGGTTGGTGGAAATGATCTTGCTTGGAACCAATGGAATTAAATACCCAGAGCATAGCATAAAAATGAACAAAGTTTCACTTTTAGTCATAAAATTTCTTGAAATGTAAATGATTAAGAATATTTCTTGTGCTCAAGGAGATTATTTGCTCAATATTTTGAACCAAAGATCAAATGTGTGGTATGATTTCATCTGCATATTTTAAATCATAGATTGAATGTATGGTATCTGTATTTTAACAAAGATATATTGAACCAAACTTTGAATGTGTGGTAGTTATGATTGAACCCAGATATTTTGAACCAGATGTTGACCGTTTTTCATGTCTACTCTCCAGGGGGGCCTGAGGAAGAAAGCAGCCTGGACCGTACCCACGAGAGTATCTCCAGCCAACAGTCGCAGCACCGATCCCGCACACCCAACCCAGAGCCGTCCCCCCCAGCGCTAGATCAAGGGTACCCCCGGGCACGCTCAGTGACCCCCAGCACAGCCGAGTGGCGCGACGACTCGAGCACTTCCTCCACGTCGGGCGAGCACAGCAGGCAACCCAGCTTCCTCATCGCCATGTCGGGAAAACCTGACAACAAGGGAAAACATCAGCCGCGGCTGGGAGGTCAGGCTGGGGGCGGGGCGGGGGTCCCAGGGCCCATGATGCCTGTGTCTCAGCAGCAGCCGCTCAGCGCTAAGCCTCAGCATGCTCAGCCTGATGGCCACGGAGACAACTACTCAGACTACACGCTGTCAACGAGTGACCAGTACCGGAGGCCCTCGCTAAACGGGTTCGAACCCAGCCAACTGCCACTCACACCCAACATGAGAGGCTACCCAGATGCCCAGAGGAAAGAAAGTTTCTCCAGATCCCGGAAAGATCCTGTGCGGGCAGATGTAGTGAGGTATCAAATGGACCCTTCGCACCCTCAAGGGGTCGCTCCACCTGACTACAGGAGTCAAGGTTATGCACCCCAAGATCTGAACTCACCACCCCCTGCACTGCCACCCAAGGCTGGCGTGACACCAGCGTTCTACCAGCACGGCCTGAACGCAGGACACCCACTTCACATCCGCCAGCGGGCTCTGTCTCAGGGCGGGGACGAGGCGTATGGCTCAGACACTGGGCAAGACATCCAGCCACAAAAACAACACACGATTGTGAAGCCTGCGGCAGGTTCGAACTATGACCACCCGGATGGCTTGTCTCACTCACACACTCCCGTACAGTCTGGCCTAGCCACTCTCCCACGACGGAAGAAGGAAATGTCAGTGGACTCGACATCTGGACACATGAAACAGGGGTCACTACACGATGGTGCTGACATCAACAGGTCGGGCTCATTAAGCAGCTCTCATTCCTTCCCTGATCAGAGGCCTGGTTCAAATCCCAAGTTTTATGGAACAGATGAAAGTAGGACTCCGGTCTCGAGCTCTGAACCCCGTGGCCTCCCCCCACCAGCTCCAGTCAAACAAGCAGTGCTAAGCTCATCCAAGGATGCAGCCTCGAAGAAATCTACAGACGCAGACAAAAAGTCCAAGAAACTTAAAAAAGAAATGAAGAAAGCGGAGAAAAAGAAATCAAAATCTGGAGAGACGCTGAAATCTCCGTCAGAGCAGCCTGATTCTGCCACCAGTGGTGGTCCCGTAGCGGGGAGTGAAGCCATCCCACGGCGGGCTGAAGAGTTCCGCGATGACAAAGTGATGTATATCGACCGTCGGATGGTGGAGAGTATCCTCAAACACCAGGGCTTGCAGCGACAGCCGTCCACGCACAGTACAGCCAGCCACACCAGCGGCTCCAGCATCGAGTCGGACAGTCTGATGGGACGACTGCTGGCCTCTAAGCACAGCGAGGGAGGTGTGCCTACTGATGTGTCATTTGACAACGTGTCCATCGGCTCGCACAAGGACTCGGGCTATGGCAGCAGTGACCGTAACAGTTCCAGCTCTACGGGAAGTGGGACTGTCGACCCTTACACGCAGTACTTCATCAGCAAGAGTATGGTGGTGCCACGGAACCTCAACCCACAGGTGGGAATGGCATGCAGTGTGCATGCTTTCTTCTTGTCATTGTATGTGTAGGGGCAACGCACTACACACATGCTGTCTTCTTGTCTGTGTAGGGGTAACGCACTACACACATGCTGTCTTCTTGTCTGTGTAGGGGCAACACACTATATACATGCCGTCTTCTTGTCTGTGTAGGGGCAACACACTATATACATGCTGTCTTCTTGTCTGTGTAGGGGTAACACACTATATACATGCTGTCTTCTTGTCTGTGTAGGAGCAGCACGCTACGCACACTCTACATACACAGAGTTTTTTTGTTTTTCATTGGGCCAACATTAGCCTCGCCTTTTCCTATCTCCAAAACTGTTCTTGCTTCATATGACCTAGATTTGTTACCTCTGACTTCCTCTTTCTCTGGTCTATCCCTCGTCTGACATGTGAAAGAGAGATGGTAGAGGTAGGATATTCATTGATTTAAAGGTAATTGATGACAGATTCACAAAGATGAAATGACTAGGAAAAAAATGAGATAAATTGTAATGATAAAAAATTATGATGATAGAAAAAGATGAGGTAAATTATAATAAAAGAAAGGATAGAAAATATGACGTAAATTGATAATAGAAAAAGATGAGGTAGTTTATCTTGATAGAAAAAGATTAGAAAAAGATGAGGTAAATTATGATGATAGAAAAAGTTGAGATAAATTATCATGTTAGAAAAACATTTCTGCTCCTGAACGCTGTCCTAAAGTTTCCTTCGTTTCCTGTCCCCAGTTTTTGGAGCGTCCACCTCACCAGCTGGTCAGTGACTTCACTGCCCCCAACCCTCAGGTCTACTCGGCCGCTGTTGCCTCGCAGGAGTCTTCTGGGAAGGATTTGTCCGGACTTTCTAAAGAGGAAATGAGCAGGCATTTGTACGAGACACTCATGAAACGGAAAGTAAGTTGACTCTTGGAGAACTTTTGTCATCCGTTATCTCATGTAGATCTAACTGTTAATTGTCAGTCATCTCATAGATTTACTGTTGTTTTAAATTATCCCATATAGAGAACTGTTGCAGTGACAATAACCCCCCCCCCAAAAAAAAAAAACACACCAAAAAAACCAAACAAACCCTCCCCAACAAGACAAACAAACAACTCTCTCCCCCTCAAAAAAATAAAAACAATAAAAGCAACCTCTACTATAATGTTTTTCTTAGGCCAACATGTATTACAGGCAGCACTCTATGCTTCTCGGGAAGTTAGATTGTTGGTTCAGACTGCTATAAATATAGTATAGATTGTAAAGTGCATACAGCTTGTTGTTGAGCGAGTATTTGCGCTATACAAATGCTATCTATTATTATTAAAATTCTTGTGTCCATCTCTCCCCCCCCTCCTCTCACCTACCAGGTGATGCACCCCATCAAAGAAAGCAGCCAAGAAGACATCCTGAAGATTCTGCCCCAAGACTTGACCCCCACCTCCAGCCCCGCCCGAGTGTCTTCACCGCTACCCTCGGCAGACCCGGCCACCAGGGAGGGGAGGCCACCACCCATTCCGCCCAAAAGTAGGTCAACGGTTCCCTCCTTGTTTGTTGTTGTCAAGTTGTGGTTGTGTTGCTTATTAGAGGGTAGTTGGTGGGTGTTCTGGTGTAGTTTGTTCCTTCTTTCCTATTGAACATCTATCGTCCTTTACTGCCCTTCTTTTTTGTGTTTGTTACTCTTTTGTAACACCTCTAATCTTTGGCTCTTTTATGACCTAATAATTTTGTTGCAAGCACAGTAAAATGTTTACTAAAAAAAATGTACATGATGATATAATTCCCTTCCCTATTTGTCTGATAGTGTATAGCACCCTCTTCTCTGTCTGTTTGCCAGTGAATATAACCTCCCTCTCTGTCCCTCTGGTAGTCTTATAAACCTCCCTCCCTTTGTCCTCCAGATTTTGCAGCCTTCCAAGTTTCGAAGTCGTCCCACCATAAAGAACCATCAATTGACAGTTTGGATAAAGATGGTGAGAACTGTTCCGTATTACTTTGTTCATTTAATGTGGCAGAGATAACAGTATTTTTTTCTTCTTGGTTTTGGAGAGAAATATATTAGACTTTAAAACTTTCCAAGTGGTCTCTCCTAATGTAGTTTTGACCAGTCTTTATTTTTGTATAGTTTAATTTCAGTGTTTGTTTTTCTCTCACTGACTGTAGGATTTTCTTATCTAATTATGTTTGTGTTTTTCTTTATGGGACTTTCTAATCAAATGTTCTTTTTTTGTGACTTTCCGAGGATGTGTTTGTGTTTGTTTGTGGATGGCTTTCTCATCAAATGTTTATTTTTGTGTGTTTTTCAGAAGTTGAGAACGACTATTTCGTATCTATGTGTGAGAAGGCTGATGAACTGATGGACAACTGCATCTTGGCTGAGACACAGGAAGACCTTCATGCCGCTTTATGCTACTGCGATAGTGCGCTTGGTGAGTAGTCTCACTTTATTCTCTGACGCAGTTTGTCATTTCAACGCTCGTGGAGATTTTTCTCATACACTTTTAAAAAGCATAAGCAGCAGTCAAAGTGTAGCATTAGCTGAGAGGAAGAGGCCAGTGAGCAAAAATAATGATAAATAAATACCATTTGTATAGCACAAGTCCCTGCTCAAAAGCAAGCCTCTATGTGCTTTTCTTTACAATATATATATTATTACCTGGCCCAGCAGACTTGATAGCACTCTGAAATACTCTCAACTTCCTGGAAAGCATACAGTGCAAGCTGTCACTCTCAAGCGCTGAAACACTTGCGTACTACTGACAAGATCTTACGCTGTCTATGGCCGGGTACAAAAGAAATGTTCTGATAATATACTTAAAAGTTACAGGGCCCAGGAAGTAATAAGTTATATGGTGTGAGCTTAACAATTCTCCCCTTAGTGTTGCATTGTCAAAATCTGAACAGTTGTGAAGTAGGCCCTGTAGCAAAATGTTTGGAGGTGGAAGGTATATTTTAATGTGATGCAGAGTAAGACAGCTTCCAATGTCACAACATTTCTTGCAAACTTCAAGAACAAGTTGTCCTGGGTCAGTAATGTTTTCCAGCAAACTTTAACTTTAAGCACAGCAATATTGTAATTTCTCAAGAGTGTTTTCATGTTTGTTCCCTTTGTGCAGGCTGCCTGAAGGAGGCCATGAATCAGACAGAGATTTCCAACAAGGCTCAAGTCTACGCTCAGAAGAAGCACAACTCTTGCCTACTCAAGTCTCGCAGTTTGTTCAAGCGAACCTCGGGTCATGGTTCATCTGATGGCAGCATTCACAGCGGCAAGCGGTAGGTCGACAGTCTGTTTCACTGTGTCCTCGTGGGAAGGGTTTAAGGACTCCTTGTGGGTGGTTGGCGGGCGCTCTGATGTGATTTGCTCTTTCTTGTCTATAAAACGTCTATCATCGTTGTTTCTCCTTTTTTTTTGGGTGTTTGTTACTCTCTTTTAACACTTCTAATCTGCTGTGCGTACGTGACTTTGTTGTGTGGTAAAATGAGATCTGACACCAGTGAAATACAAAGAGTTTCGTAGTTTATTCCTGTGGTAGTGTCGTGCAAAGTGTCGACTGTGTGTGTGTGTGTACATGTGTTTACAGTCTGTGTCATGTTTTAAAAAACAACTCTATGTGTTCACATGTCTATGTAATGTTCTGACTTGACTTTTGTTGACTGTGTGTGTTAAGTTCTGATATTTGATGACTGTGTATGTGTGTGCTCGCGTGTATGTGTGTTTTTGTGCGTGCGTGCGTCAGGTCCAGACATTTCCTAACTGAGTGTACATGTGTTTTTCAGGTCCAGCATCACCAGCACAGACTCGGACAACAGCGACAAGCCCGTGCGCCGTGTCACCTCCAAGGACCGTCTGCTGGCCGCAGGGAGGACCCTGACAAGACCTGGACCTCAGCAACAGCAAGCATCCTTGACCAGTCAACAAATGCCAGCGTCTGGTGGTCAAGTGTCCACTGGTCGCCACCAGCAACAAGAGTCTATGAGTGGTCACAGGAAATCTCCATTGGCCCAGCCGCTTGCGATGTCTGCTCAGCAGAAAACCGGCCAGTGTGGACCGCAGCGGTACCCCTCCCCCTCCCCTGCAGTCTCCACACAGCCAATGTCTGGTGTCCCTCAAAGACCCGGAGAAGCGCAACCAGCTTCCTCCCACATGTCAAGGTCGGCGTCGGCCGAGGGGGAAGTTGTCCACGCTCGGTCGTCTAGCAACAGCTCTATGAGGTCCTCAGCTTCCACCCCATGCTCTCTGTCTCAGCCTCAGTCCACGACCCGGCCAGTGGCAAGTTCTGTTAGTAGTCAACCCCACCATGTCCACATGCCCCTCGACGCTTACGGAACTCTGCCCCGGAACAGGAAGCCGCGAAGGACATCGGACCCAACTGGCAACTCGGAGGTGTACCAGATGTACCTCAACAGGCAGAAAAACCTGCAGCTGACAGGAAGTAGCTCAGACAGTCGTGAATCGGACAGCAGCAGTTGTGACGGGAACGGACAGAAGAAAACGAATAACACAGAGATACGAGAGATGCTGGAGAGTGGCGTAGTCCAGAGACAGAAACAGCAATTTGTGGGCGGTCAAACCCTGAGGCAGGACGGTGGGGAGCGAGGGCCGAATGGGCAGCGAAACAGTCTAGACGGGCCGGGGAGTACCCCCATGCACCGCTTCGATGTCCACGCAGGCCAGTCTCAACAACCCTCTGACCAAATGTCTCAGCCCGGGCTTGACCAGCGGTCATCAGCCGGACCCATGGGCCAGTCCCAGCCAGTGCACCGTGGCCCAGTGTACAACAAAGGTCAGCTGGTACCCGGAAGCGGGTCAAACACACCGGAAAAGTCAAATCCCCCACGTATGGCCGGTGGTCATCACACACAAATGACCCCCTCAAACCGACCATTGTCAGCTCACTTGACCAACTCCCCTGCAGTCAAACCTTCCAACCTGTCTCAGCAAAACAAACAACACCCTTCTCCCAGTGGTCCGGTGTACCCACAGCAGCACCCCTCCAAGTCGGCCTACCCCCCCACATACCCGTCAAAGCCTGCTCCGAACCCCATGTCTGTCTCCGGCTACAGTCAGCCCTTGCCAGGTCACAGAGGCGTCGCAGCATCTCACGCCAGCACGGGCTCAAACTCCAACCATCAGGGTCCACAGGCCGGTGCACTTCCTGTTGGCCCTCGAGGTGGTCCCCACACTGCCTCACCCCCCAGCTACCAGCCTACAAATCAGGTGCCAGGACCGCCCGGTGGGGGTTATGGCGGACCGCCCAGCGGTGTGCAACAAGTAGACAACGGTGTTCAGAATCTCAATCTGGGAGCCTCGAGCCCTCAGAAAAAGACAAATCTTGGGCGGACTCCTCCCCCACCCCCGCCGGTCCGCACCACCTCAAACCCTGACTTCAGGCAGCAGCTGCCCCCTCCACATATGCCTCAGCCGCAGCAAGGTCACAGTGCCATGCAGCAAGGTCACAGCGCTGGTCAGTCGTACCAGCGGAATCTTTCTCACGGCCCAGGTCCTGAGCTTGGTCCACGAGGGCAAATGAAGGGACCGACTGTAGCTCGGGTAGAACCCAATAGCCATCTCGACCGATCAGCTTCCCACTCTCATTCTGTACCATCTCGACCAGCCTCATGTTTCGAGTCCCCTGCGCAGCCTGCCTCCCATTATGCCTACCAGCAGCGACCCCCGACCTTCGCCTCAGATGCAGTGCCTGGGTCGCAGCTCAAACACGCCAGTAGCAGCACGGGACTCAACCAGTTGTCCCTCACTCCCAGACCGCTTGAGAGATACTCCTCCCAGCCCGACTGTCAGAACTTGGTTGATGTTAACTCCTACACCACCCAGACAGGTACGGCACTGACTTAATGATTACTGGGATGTTAGATCTCCTCTGATTTAATCAATAGGGGGATGCTAGATTTCTTTTTACTTAATCAATTGGGGGATGCTAGATTTCTTCTGACTTAATCAATTTGGGGATGCTAGATTTCTTCTGACTTAATCAATTTGGGGATGTTAGATTTCTTCTGACTTAATCAATTTGGGGATGCTAGATTTCTTTTGACTTAATCAATTTGGGGATGCTAGATTTCTTTTGACTTAATCAATTTGGGGATGCTAGATTTCTTCTGACTTAATCAATTTGGGGATGTTAGATTTCTTCTGACTTAATCAATTTGAGGATGTTAGATTTCTTCTGACTTAATCAATTGGGGGATGCTAGATTTCTTTTGACTTAATCAATTTGGGGAATGCGAGATTTCTTTTGACTTAATCAATGTGGGGAATACGAGATTTCTTTTGACTTAATGTGGGGAATGCGAGATCTAATTTATGGAGGGGAGAAATTGTCGGGTCCATTTTGTAAGAGAAACAGTATAGCTTCTGCTATTTCTTTACTCATTGCCTTTGAGAAAGATAATCCAGAAGTCAGAAGGACTTGATAGTTGATAAACTATACACTGCAGAGAGTGAATTGTAAACATATTATAATGACTGAGGGTGCTCCTCCATAGAATGCTACATACGCTTTTCTCCACTTGAGGCTTGAGGAGTTTTGCTTTCCTCACTCAAAGTATCTAATGATTCCTGTCTTCTAATTTTGCATTTGGCTGCCTTCTCTCTAACACACACCCCCATCCCCCGTAACCCCCCTCACCCCAGTCTCCCTCTCGATGTGAGGGGTTCGTGGTCAGTAACTCTATTTCATATCTACAACTCAAAGTGTTAAGTCAAAACTCTTAACATCAAACATAATTCGTTCAACAAAATCTGAATATTTGAAGTAACTGTAAAAGCGGCCCTTCTGGAGCTCGATATTGATGTATCTCTTCAACTATAAGTATCTTGGTAGTATCACTGTGCCCTCAACCCTGGAAATTAATAATAATTTATCCCTTTGCCAATATATATAAGTAGTGATACTTTGTATCACTTTACCCTTAAATTGTAGAAGTAATGATACAGGCACTAGAATCACTTGGCCCTTAAATTGTAGAAGTAATGATACAAGCACTAGAATCACTTTGCCCTTAAATTGTAGAAGTAATGATACAAGCACTAGAATCACTTTGCCCTTAAATTGTAGAAGTAATGATACAAGCACTAGAATCACTTTGCCCTTAAATTGTAGAAGTAATGATACAAGCACTAGAATCACTTTGCCCTTATATTGTAGAAGTAATGATACAAGCACTAGAATCACTTGGCCCGTACCAAATTTAGAAAGTAATACAAAAATCACTTTACCCACACGATAGATAAGTATCTTTGTCCCCAAGTCTCCCAGCCCTTACCCATCACTTCGAAGTCCACACCTGCACACAATTAACAGAAGAACGCGGGCGGACAGTGTAGCTAACACTGGACACATCTCCCCTGGAGATAGCAACAACATTGTTCACTTGGGATTTTGGCACTCATATATTCTTGTTGACAGCCTGTGTGTGTGTGTCTGTGTGCGTTAATGTGCGTGTGTGTGTGTTTGCTGTAGAGCTAATCTTCACCTCCTATGGCTCTGTTTCTGCAGATGTAGGCCTTTCCTCCCCCTCCTATGCTACCAGCATCCACTCCAGTAGTAACAATAATTGTCCACAAGTAAGTATATGACCAGACCTCACTGTTGTCTTTTATCTTATAGCACAGCTCATTTATTATGTGTGCACACATAGTAGTAGATGTAGATATCGCCAATGGCATTCCACAGTCGCCTATGTCAGTTTATAATTTTGAGAAAATTTGGGGAAAAATAATCACCACAATCAGAATTAGATTTAGATCTATATAACTCTTATTTTTTCAATAAAAGCCGGGAAGAAAATAATGAAACAATATGAAACTTTACAACACGATGCTCTCTAATGTCATCAATGGGATCGAATAATGGCTTTGTCAGAGAATCCCCTTAAATTGACTTGCGAGATTGAGGAATGGCGGTTGAGGATAGCCATATATATGTACACGTATATCTTGTATATACGTATACATATTGTCTATTTACGTATGAAATGTGTAGCTTGTCATAGCTTGCTTACAGATTGCTGTTGTCGGTTGAAGTTATATAATATACATACATGTTGTATATTCGTGTATGTATAATAATCTCTCTCTCTCTTTATATAAATATAGGTCTATAAATTAGTATTAGACTGCACATTATTTGTGTCATAAACCTCTTGTCGTACACATGTATCTGCATTGTGTTTTCTTGTAATGTTTTAAGTAATGTTGAAGACTAGGTCTCACTCTCAGAATAATTATGTCTTAGAACTGTGATTATTTGCCCAAACCACGTAGATGCTGAGGTGGTTATCCGTCATCACCTCACTTATGTCATTCCCTGGATAGATCACTGAGTAATGGTCGTTGTGTTTGGCTTTCTATTGTTAGGTCCTGTCCCTCTGACACCTTCTGTAAGCACATTTCTTATCTTTCTGGCATCAAAATCTTTTTACTATAACTAACACTAACAAATTATACAACAATAATAATAATTATAATTATTAATTATGATAATAAGTCTTTGTCATGCATATCTGACGATGACCAATGTATCTGGAGAGGAGAATATATAATTTCATAAAGAGAAATAGATGAAATTATAAGGATGACGATGACTTGTGGTGGCTTCTGCTCTAGCCAAATGAGACCAATTCTCACTGAGAAGAGTTTGCCACGTTTTGAGCATTTATAGACCTCACTGTTGTCTCTTGTCTTTTTGCATAGTTCATTGTGTGTGCACACACACATAGTAGACGTATATATTGCTAGATGGGCACATCTTGCTGGTTTCTTTCTTGGTTTCAATATTTCTAATTCATGAAACCTCAGGACTTAATTTAGAAACATACAATCTACAATAAGATACAAATACATGTACTCACACAGCCAATATTCTCTATTGGTTTTATCTTCTTGACTCATATTTATCACTTCTAAAAGCATGCAACTAACTAACAAATTCAGGCAGCTTTTCTTTTCATTGGTAAACTGTTCTGCTGTTTTAAGCCCAGAAAGTAGAAAGGAAAATTTTTCAGGAAGGAGGAAAAAAAAATTCATTGTGTTTAAAACTGTCCTACTTAAATGACGTACCTTTTCTGGCTTTATTTTAAAAAACGTTTGAGATTTGAATTTCGACTAAATATTTCTCAAGAACATGCAACTGATACCACATAAAGAAATAAACTGCAATTCTAAAAAAATCAAAATTTTGGGCTTATAGTACATGATCTGAACAGCTGGCCAACAATATACTGTTCTGTTCCTGGTTTTTGTGTATACTGCATTTGTATAAGCTAACACTAACACAATTTATTATTGCTGCCTTAGAACTAACACATATATATTGCGCTAGAACTGCTGCAACACATTTCATTGCATTTAGTAGATTTAGATGAATACATTTATCTCAGATTTACCTTTCAGATTCCTTAGTTTTCATGTTTTTTGGTGTTATAACAATTCATTTTTGGTGCTAGTGAGCATGAAATATTTTCCGAAACTGAAAAATAGTTTAGAAGTTTGGTGGAAAGAAAAGTTTCACAAATAACTTAGTAAAATTTAAAGTAGTACCACAAATAGGGGAAATGTACCATAATCTGAGCCAAAAATTAAGCCAATAGCTTAATATTCACATTCCTGAGAATTTTTTGAAAAAGAGGAAATGGCCAGTATAGAGAGACCAGTGTGATTCTGTACAAATATACTGAACGCCAGGGCTCCTATCGGAGGTTTCCAGTGATCATTCGTCGTCTTTGGAGGACACATCATGACGTTTGTCAAAATACCGCCTGTTGTAACATGAGTTGATTCATCGATTCATAATTTAACCTATACCACAGAAAACAATTGCGTAGTTGCTCTGGTCACTTTCTCCGCTAGTTTTATCGCTATAAAAATTAAGTAAAAATATTTCTCCACTGTAAGCTTATTGCATAATAATTGATGTATTGTTTAAAAAGAAGCTCGCAGTTATTTGAAATTTAATTTGACGTTACGAATTTGAAAGAAGAAAAAAATCAATTAAAGGCATTGAAGTTGTGTTAAGTAAAGATACAGTTGATGTCATATTATCTTTGTGGTCTGGTGCCAAGGAGATGCAGGGTAGGCTACATGTACAAGTTGTTAAATTTTTCGGACAAAACTTTGTCATTTGACACCTCCAGCAACTGAGTGCGACATATTTCTGGACTTGTGTTCATGGTTCTGAGGCACGACTTCTGACCTATGTTTTTTTTCTTTTCACCAGGACAAGAATCCTGCCTCTGGTACAAATGGGAGATCGCTTCTGACTTCTAGCGTTGCACACACCCAAGGTCAGTCCCTGGCAGCGACCTCTAACCCCGCTACAGGTGGCACGGAAGCTGAAACGTTCAAACCCAACGTGAGGGCTCTGGCTTCTCGGTTTGACCGGAGTGTAGAAAAACCGCAGGTGAAGCCCAAGCCAGGCTCTGGTGTAACTCGAACCAGGAGCAAGTCGGAGTCTGGCAGCAAAAAACCCAAGTCTGTTCTCAAGAACAAGAAAGCGAAATCTGGCAGCTCTCGCCCTCGGAAATCCGTAACATTTGCCGAAGACATTTCTAGTTTAGCCGCAGGTTACGAGTCGGCTGCCGAGTTGACTTCTTTCAAGGGCGGTAACTCGAGCAGCGAGCGGGCATACTACAGCGACGACGAGGATCAGCTGAGTCACAAGCCAGTCTCGTTCTCGGACAATGACCTCGACGATGTAGAAGACAGCAGCAACAGCGACGAAGCTCCACTCTCCCGCGAGGAGCTCGCCTGCCAGTTGTGTCGCAAGAGGGAGATGGAGCCCGGCAAAGCTTACTGCAGCAAGTGTTCATTCTACATGGGGAGGCTTGTTTCTTCATAGTAGTCGACACTTTATGGTTGCCGACTCTGTATTTGTTTTTTTTTTGTTTTGTTTTGGGCTTTTTTTTGGGGGGGGGGGGAGGTGGGGGTGGGGAGAACTGTGCTGTGGTCAGAGAGCTCATACATAGAAGATGTGGACATGAGAACCTGTGGTCAGCCTGTACCTTGACCCTCTGATGGGCAAGTGGACTTGAGATACCAGCATTACATCTGTGTGAAGAAAGAAAATGTTCTTACAACGCTGCAATAGTTGCTGTTTTCATTTTTTCGCCTTATCAGTAATCCAAACATTCCATGTCATATGATATATTAACTGATATTATATATACTGTACAAAAATTATGCAATTCGTTTTACAAGCACAAGGTAATTGTTGAAAATATGTTTTTTTTTACTACACATATATTTTTACATCCAGTGGCATATCTGAGCAGTGGAGGTGTTGGGGTGTGTTGTAGATGTGTGCCATATGTCCATGGGTACAAAAGAGGTGTACCCACAAGCCCATACATGGGCACATATCTCTCCTTAAAGGTATATCCTAAAGTCCATATATGGACACATATCTCTCTTTAAAAGGATACCCACATATCGGTATATGGGCACACATCTCTCTTTATATATGCACTCTACCCAAATGTCAATGTATGGGTAGACATGGGAGGGATGTAATGGTCAGTGTTTGTTCTACACATTCCATAAGGGGAAACGAACTACACCAAAACAGTTGTCATGGCGATAGAGAGACCCTGGATGTTGAGATCTGTACATATCAAGAAAGTTTTATTGTCCATTGTTGTATTCCATGACATCCTGCTTGTTCCTAGTGCTTGTGTTGAGCGAGATCTTGCCAAAAGATGTTTATCCTTCTTGTTGTCGACTGTACAAGAGTTTACTGTGTACATTGTGATCTTTCTAACGAAATGTTGAGTTTTTGAGTTTCAGACATTTTTTTAAAAAGTTTATTGTATTGTGGAAAGCCAGTAGACCATAATATGTTATATGATAGTGATAGTGTAGATTCTAATTCTAACATTCCATGGTCACTCTGTGTTCAAGAATGACCTTAGTTCAGGATATAATGGGGAAATTCTGAATATAAAAAAAAAAAAATTAAGTAAAAGCATAATACAGAAGATGAAGCTTGAAATGATTTTACACATTTTGCAGGCGAAGCATGATAAGAGATCAAATATCTTTGGGAACTTTAATGTTGCTTCTGTTTGTTGAAGGAATAACTGATGTCAAGCTGCCTGATGTGGTAGCTTTGTGAAATGTCTCTACATGTAGCATGAGACTGTGTCTCTGTCACGATGTTCTATATATGTGTCGCAACGCGGTGGAATCAAGCACTCGTCAATTTTTGTGGTATCATCTTAAAGCTTGTTCATTTATCTTGCTCTTGGTGATAAAAATATTTATCTATCCTGAGCATAAGTGAGATATTTGTGATTGAAAGAGATAAGTTCACTTGGTTTCAGCGGTAAATAGCGAGAAAACGGCCGCCAAAGTTTGATAATTTCCAATAGCTAAAGAGTCCTTGAAAATTTAAACATTACATATTTTGAGCTTTTAAATTAATCAACGATTTTCAATATAATTCACGTGGAAATGTGTTTTTATTCGGACAGAAAAGGTTGAACAAAAAAACAAAAAAATTAGATTAAAATTGCGAAACTGGTGGGCAAAATGCCTGTTTCTCCAATTTTGTTATTTTGATGAGCGCCTGATTTTACCATGATGCCTCACATATTATAACATCGACTGTGTGTCTGTCACTCTGTGACATGTCCTATATTGTAGCATCCACTGTCTCTTGTCAATATGTCCTATATATGAAGCATCAACTGTTTCTGTGACTATGTCCTGTATATATGTAGCATTGATTGTCTCTTGTCACTATGTCCTATATATGTTTCTGTCATTATGTCCTGTATATATGTAGTATGTAGCATTGATTTTCTCTCTTGTCACTATGTCCTCTTATGTTTTTTCCTTATGTCCTGTATATATGTGGTACGTGTAAGTAGCATTGATTGTCTCTTGTTACTATGTCCTCTATGTTTCTGTCTGTCATTATGTCCTGTATATATGTAGTATGTAGCATTGATTGTCTCTTGTTACTATGTCCTCTATGTTTCTGTCTGTCATTATGTCCTATATGTAGTATGTAGCATTGTCTCTTGTCGCTATGTCCTCTATGTTTCTGTCTGTCATTATGTCCTGTATATATGTAGTATGTAGCATTGATTGTCTCTTGTCACTAAGTCCTATATATGTTTCTGTCGTTATGTCCTGTGTATATATCTGCCGTCGTAAGGGAAAACGACGAATGGTCCTGCGCAGGTAGCGAGGCAAATTTTTCAGGAGAGACAAAAACTTGTTTCACTTTATAACTCTTCTATTTTCCACTCTTTTAAGCTGTAATTCACCAGATATCTGATTGAGATGTTCCTAAAGTAGTTTCTAAAGTTTGAATGGTTTAGGTTAAAAAGTAGCAAAGTTATTCGACATTCGTCGTTCTCCCTTACACTGCGCACCCACAGGTGAGCCTTGCGATGTACGCGAAAACGACGAATGGTACAGTTCGTCGTTCTCCCTTACACTCGTGAACGTTTATGGGCGTAGGCGATCGTCAGCTTTGACGCATTATTGACAGTAATGACTGTGTACTGGTTACTACAAATAAAAATAAGACTTATACAAACTAGCTATTATGCGTATAAAGTTAGGTGTTTGTTATATCCCAACTGTAACTCGGTAAACGTCCTTCGTTTCCCTTCCTCGCTTGGTTAAACTACACAGTCAGTGTACAAATCAGATGTGCACACATTTTCAGCAGCTTGATTTAAAACTGTCTCATTCGGAACCAAAGTTTGGTTTCCATGATATCTCTTTACTGTATTCTCTTCAGAAGCGAGTTTTACTTTTATTTTCGCTAATTGCAAATGTTTCCCTGCACGACCTAAGGGATCAACAATTTTACAATGTCAATAATACGATCAGATCATTGCAAAGTCAAACTTTCAAGTAAGAATGTAACAATCTGACAAGACTGTATCACACACGCTTTCGGGAGAGGTAATGGGACGCTTTGTATTTAATAAAGGATTCAGTTGATCGGATCGGAAAACATACCGCAAAGTAAAATTCGACTGGAACGGTTTGAATCTGCAAGACATTATTATACTCGATCGTATCGTCCATCAAGTCATAAAAAATCGTAAAGCAAGACTAAGTGTCGCCACAATATCTCCACTTTTTAAGTTCGACAAAGAAATTTACTCTCATAACGCAGTGTCATTAATTGCTTGGTAATTCTATAATGATGTCGACCAGAGACACGTGCTGGACAAATTGCGGCACTATAAGCATCGTTGGGATTTGGGATGTCAAATGACTGGAAAGCAAAGTAACATGACGTTAGTCTGTGAACATCTGGCGGGCACTAATATGCAGTGCTAATAAATTTATCCCTAAATACTGTTTTGACCGTCCCATCCCCACCCCTTTCCCCCTGTTCCCATCCGTTTTCCCCTCTCTCCCACCTGCTCTTGTCAATTCACACCATCAGCATAGGCCTAATACGTGAAGACAGACAGAAAGACACACTAAGAGATACATTCTTATAAACCATAGACGGTACTCCGGGGGAGGGGGTGGTGGTGTGTTTGTTTGCTAAAAAAGCCTAATATGTTTGTACTGACGCAACAGTGACCAATTGTCATTCGTCGCCCATGCCGAATTTGCCCAACGGCAGAGACCAGGGGACAACGCCGAACGAGCAGTGATCCTTGACCGATCGACCATTCGTCGTTCTCCCTTACACTGAGCTCTGGCTCGGAGCTCGCCAGTGTAAGGGAAAACGACGAACTCTCAATTACGCAACAACGAATTAAGATATGACTAAAATTTTTACACCATCAGATGCAAAATTAAATACTCTATGAAATATGTAAAAATACAAAAATCGAAAAATTTTGACCATTCGTCGTTTTCCCTTACGACGGCAGATATGTAGTACATGTATGTAGCGTTGATTGTCTCTTGTTGCTATGTCTTATATGTTTCTGTCACTATGTGCTGAATATCAATGTAACATGACCGTTTTTGTCGCTATGTCCTATATGTTACTGTCACTATGTGCTATATGTAGCATAACTGTTTCTGTTGCTTTGACTTTGTTTCTGCCGCCATTATTGTCCTAAATTGTAGCATATTGTTTCTATATTGTTTCTGTGGTCACCACATTATTCATATTGTGAGAATGCACAAACCCGTGCCTTATCGAGAAATCATTCCAGAGTGTGCACGGCTGTGTCCGCCCTACAGAGATATTTACAGATAAGTGTATATAAACAAATAGATAGATATCTACATGTATCACAACCCCCACCCCAATTCCCCCTTTTTTAAATTCAACAAAAACAAGCTAAGGAGAGTTGTCAAGTGCAATGTTGAGACTCTGGCTGGTCAGTGACACACTATCTGTGCCTGCAGAGACAACACAAAGACTACACGTGTTGGTTTGACACACTATGTGAGCCTACGGAGACCACACAAAGACTACACGTGTTGGTTTGACACACTATGTGTGTGCGGAAACTACACAGACCACACACATTGGTGGTAGAATCTCTCTTGTGATGTCATCAGTTTTCTTTCTGTCAATTCATCTACACGCTAGATCTTGTGCTTTTTATTTTCACCTTCATTATGAGGTGTTTGTTATGCTGGTAACACTTTCGCATTTTATGTATAAAAATCTTTAAAATATATGTTTTATCAAGAATGTTCAGATATGATATTTTTCAGATTCTTATGTCTAGTGACAAACATATATATGCACGATGCTGAACATGACAAGAACATGTTGTAGAATTCAGTTTTTATTTAAGAAAATAATTGCCCCTATATTATAATTATAAGGAGAGAAATTCTTCCTTCCATTTGCTTCTCATCCATTCCCAATCATCAATGCTGGAAAAATTGTCAATAAATTAGATACGTTTTTTGAAGTCAAATCTTTTGGATTGTTCTCCTGTTATTTGTCTTGTCTGCTAGCTGTTAGACTTTATTATCTGTATTGGCATCATGAATATGTACAGACATCATTTATATTATCATTGCCCTTGTCTTAAGACTGGCTTCACCCATTGCGAGGTTATCACGACTAAAGTTGCGATGCCGTGACTGTTCCTCCGAGGTTATCGAGAACACGGGCACTTGAGACCTGATTTTGTGTATGGAATCATCAGAAATGGTTTAAACTAAGTTAAACTCTTTTCAAGGAAGATTTTCCGAGCATTCACTGCCCCAAACAAGAATCTAGACCCAGAATTGGAATAGAAAACGAAGTCTAGGAATTTGTTTACATCAGTTACTGAGGCAGTAATCAAAATCAAATGTGAAATAGCTGCAATTATGAATGTTTGCAACCTGTTCAACGCATTTTATGGGGATAGTAGTGATTCAAGAGGAAACAGACTGCATTTCAAAGCAAAAAGTGTGAGGTATGGTATATATATTATATATAGCCCTGTCTGTGTTCCTGGCTGCTTAATTGAACTGTATCACCCACACTACAACTAGGGGAAATTTGACACTACAACTTCAGGACTAACACACAGGCAAAGACTGTTTTGAAAATTTTTATGTTGTGTTTTTTTTTCACTCAGTTTCCAGTTCAATGATGTTTAGTTCCTATTTCTTTCATGAAAAATAAGGAAGCTATAAGCATTTTTCTTGACCCATCCTAATTTTCATGAAGTTTTCAAATTAATTCGCCTCCGGGGGACCAGACAGGGCAAATTAATTTGCCTCTAGAAGGGTTGAGACAAATTGTTACGTGTAACCACAAAATTGTAATAAAATTGGATGATGGAGAAGAGAAAAGGTTGAGAAATCAAGTGGTGCCTGATATGTTTGTGATCAAGGTCAGATTCGGGAGGAATGAGTTGGAATGCAAAATCCCTTTGAAATTTGATGCTGTGTTAGATTAAACGTAGCGTGCAAATTTTTAAAAATAATTGCCATAGCTAAAACAGACTTCAGTTTTGAAATCAGCGTATCTAAAGAGGCAAAGCGTTTTTTCATGAACCTGACTTGATGCGATATTTAAACCTTAGTGAACGTTTTTGTAGTTTATTTCGATTGATAACTAAGTTATCTATCATCATGGTCACCTTGTGTGTTGCGAATCTGATTTGAAAGCTTCGACCTAAATACTGCACATTCACTGAACAGTCAGTGAGCAATATGGTGACACTGGAGCAAAGATATGTACTGTATATACAGGAGGCGTCGCATAAATAAACAATAAGCTTCACATATATACAACAGGCTCGCGTAGGTATACAACGGGCATGATATCATGGCACTGAAAGGAAATATGCCATGCATTGGAAATCTGGTGTGAGCTTTGAGCTATTGGTACTACCTGGCTACATGTCAACATATTTTGGTTCACAATAGAATTGAACCTGCACATGTCTTTTTGGTTTAGTATGTGTTTTACGGCACTTGCAACACAATACAGTCATATAAGTGCTGAAGAGAGTAACAAAAGCAAAAAAGGAGGAGGAAAGGTAAGGATGATAGATGTTTGATAAGAAAAAAAAGGGCAAACCACACCAGAGCATCCACCAACTACCCATCTACAAATCTGAAGCATTCTTCTTACACAATCAACAAAAGTCCTGCCAGACGAACACACGCTGACAAAATGACGGAAATAAACACAGCAGTGTAGCTGACAAGATTTTTTATTTTTTCCCCTTTTCTTCACAGACATTCTTTTCATCTTGAGTATATCAAACAAAATTATACATAACTGAACATGTACATATATATTTACAAATCTAAGAGCGCAGGTTTCTCAGAGGCAGGCCTAAAACATTTTTATTGACCAAAGTACTCGAAGCTTAGGGAAGGGAGGACAAAGATAAATTAAGGAACATCATCGCCGTCGCAAGAACAACTCTGGGCTTGGTTTGAGCCTGCGACCCAGGGTGAGTACAAAACTTTGCTAGTGAACTTCTGGTTTTAACGTGTGGAGAACTTGTTCTTCTTGAGACTGCACCGCGTCCTCTTCATCCAGGGAACAACACGACAAGTCGGAGCAGACGCCCAAAGCTCAAGACTTCTTGGACAGCTGGTCCTCCAGTTTGCGGAATTCTTCATTGGACAACGCCTCCACCTCATCAACCACCTACGAAATAAATACGGCAAGAAATAATCAGTTTGTATATGTGATCTAAACTTAGAAGCTCATTTTCTTAAAATGATATCTTTACACCCTACCTCACAAAAAGTACAATATCTAAAAAAACTAATTGAGATACCTCAAAAATTAAAAAAACCCACTGTGTTCTGTACTGAATCTCCTTTGTGGTTCAGCCCTTAACTTGTTCAAAATGGTCAAAATCCGACTTTTGGTACCTTTCTTCAGGCAAACACACATGTGGTATCCATTATATCAGTTCTTCTCAAATCCAATCTCCTGTGTGCAAGTTGCATACGTTAAAGATCCCTTGGCAGTCCAAAATCGATTAGTGTAGGATACCGCCACCCGTGCAAAATTCAAAATTTCCTACCAACTAAAAATGTTTGGTGTGTCCAATGCACTAATATGACCATATGCAGTTGCAAGCGCAGTAAACCCCCCCCAAAAAAAAAATCAAATAAAAAATATCCAGTCATTTCTCCCAAAATCTCCTCACCTGCCTCCCCTCCAACAGACATCCTCAAACCAACTTTTCTGTTAGTCACATTGTACACACACACCCACCCACCCACAAACATACACCCACACAAACACAGACATACACACACAAACACAGACATACACACACACAAACACAGACATACACACACAAACACCCACATAAACACAGACATACACACATAAACACCCACAAACACAGACATACACCCACAAACACCCACACACACAGACAAACACACACACGTGACACTGTACCTGCTCCACCCCCTCCACCTCGGGGATGTAGAACTGCAGCATGTTCTGGACGCCATGCTTCAAGGTCACCACCGAGCTGGGACAGCTGCTGCACGAGCCCTGCATCTTGAGCCGAACAATGCCATCTTGGAAACCCTGGACACAAAGTTATGATAATGAAAACAATAATAATAATAAAGAGTATTTATGCTGCACATTTCCATTTTCTAAAAAATGCTCAATGTGCATTACATTAATATCACATTTAAAAAAGTTAAAAGGACGTGTGTATGTACAACATAATATTATGTATAAATGTATATGTATAAAAACTTTTCTTTGAGAAAAAAAGTCACACAGTGAGCCTGGCAATGCATTCACTAAAAAAGACTTCAGGTAATAATGATAATAATAATAATGCATTGATGTGTGTGTGCCTAAAGAAAGGTACAAAAAGTCAGATTTTGACCATTTTGAATTAAGGGTAGCACCTTATAGAAAATTCATAGCTGAACAAAGTGGTTTTTGAATTTTCGAGATATCTCAAATACTGGTAGTTTTTGAGATATTGCACATTTTGTGCAGTAGGGGTGTAAAGACCTAATTTTGAGAAAATTAGCTTTTAAGTTTATGACACTTACAAACTTAAAAAAAACAATGATTCAATTGTTTCTAATGTATTTTTTTCATGGAAAATTCATTTCCAACTTGGCATTCAGTTTACATCAATATCATGATTAGAATTCAATGGTAAAACATAGTGGGGAAGAGAAAATGTGCTTCAAGAATAGATTTTAACACTTTCTAAAAGCAGTTTTCGTTATATCTTTAAAAAATACCATAGTCTCAAAATTATTCAAAATAAAATATTTAGAAGTCAAATCAATGAAAACCTTTTTTTAACACATTGTTAAAAAATGGTGGAACTATCGTTTTTTTATGGAAACACATTTTGGTCAAAAAAGTGATTTCAGCCTGTAGCTCAAAATTCTCCCCAATACAGCTCTAGATGATTTACATTACATAAATTCATCTCAACACAAGACATATTTGAATGAACATGCTTACATACATACGCTTTTTAGATTAACACTATTGAGAATTCATAGCAGGAACAGAAAAGTGTGCAGACAAGGAATAACGTCAAGAGGCAAGCCCAGGATAGAGAAAGGTGGAAAGTGACTGTTGATGGCCTTTACCCTAATGCAGGGTGAGAAAGGCAACGATGATGATGAATGTGTATTGATTAAACTATCACAGCACAATTGATGACGATATGTGTCACAATACGGTGGAATCAGCAGCTCATCAATATTAGGGCCCAACGAGTAACTGGCATCACCATTAAGCTTGTTCATTTGTCTTCCTTTTGAGGGAAAAATACTTCTCAATCTTGAATAGAAATCCTAAAATAGCAATTGAAGGCGGTGGGGGTCGCCTAGTGTGAGAGGTAAAATTAGTGAGAAAACGACTGCCATAGTATGGTAACTTCGCGAGTCCTTGGAAACAGCAAATTCACATTTTCTGTACCTTTGACTAACTCTTTTGAGTAAAATTCCCCCACGAATGTGTTTTAAAATAAAAATAAAAAGCATTGAACTCCAAATAAAAAAATTCAATAAAAATTGCTCAGCAGGTGAAAAAATGTCGGTTTCTTCCATACCATTATTTTGATGAGCTCCTGATTTCACTACAATGAAACAGCACATAATATATGCACATCACATTATGAACATAGAAGTACTATGAATAAGAAGAATGAAGGATTAACGGTCTAGATGGCATTTCATAAGATAAGTTTTTAAATGAATTTTAAATTTGGCCTCTGACTTTGAATCCCGCAAACATTGCGGGAGAGAGCTCCAGACAGATGGAGCTAGATGAGAAAAGGACCTCCGACTGAGTTTTTGACTTCTCATCCTAGGTGCTCTCATAAGAGACTGATCTCCCGATCTTAGAGATCTTGGTGGAACTACATTTAAGTGCTGTTGTTTAAATATGAGGGAGCTTTATTGTTAGAACATTTATGGCAAAGGACATCGATACTGTAGAAATTCTGGTTGGGAGCCAATGGAGTTTTATAAAAATACTGATGATATGGCTGTTTTTCCTCCTTTTAGACATGATTCTTGCACCTTGGTTTTAAACGTGCCATATCAGTAGTTCACTGATGTCCCCAGAAATGACACAGACAAAAAGGGCAATATCTCACAATGTAAATGATGTCCCCTCCATCTTCCTGAACCGTTGGTCTGATGCGTGTATCCAACAGCTCCTTAATGAGGGCCACCGTCTCATCGTCATCATCGTCAATCACTGGAAAACATGACACACACATTTCACATATCCATGCACACATACATTTCACATCTGGACATACACATTTCACATGTCAAAACACACCTGAACACACACACACACTTCACAAGTCAACACATACACACACTTCATATGACCATTGCAAGTATGGTATTTCCCATTGAACCATCACAGTGACAGAGCTCCAAATACGCACACACAACTGAAGCCATCACTTTAGTTTAATTTAATTTTAGTAAGAGTTTTACAGACATTGCAACACAGTTAGGTCATATAAGTGCCAAAGATTAGAGGTGTTACAAGAGAGTAACTAACACAAAAAAGGACAAAAGATATTTGATAAGAAAGAAGGAGCAAATCACACCAAAGCAACCACAAACAATCCACATTATCATTTCATGAAATTGGATGAACTGAGAAAAGCGCTGTAAGTGAGATTTGAAAAAAATCACTTGAAATTTGAGCATTGGACTCAAGCGTAAAGATAGCTGGTCATTTTAGAAAGATCAGGGGTTGCAGAGAGTGGCACAAATATTGCTATCTTGAGAAATCCCTAGTACTCTCTAATTACAAAATACAACGTAAATGACATATGACTTTTGCGTTAAAACCACAGACACCATGAGGCTCAGAACTGGTTAATAGTGGTCAGTCCTTTAGAGGACATTTCCTACACCAGGCGTCCACAAAGATGGAGACAGGTGCTTATTTTAGGGACGTGTACACACAGGGTCAAAGAGGTCAAGCTGGCCTTGAAATGACTTAACTTGTCTTTCCGACTCCATTTTAAACCCCTAATCCCACGTAACCCATTGCCCCCCCCTCCCTCACACCATTATCCCTTTACCCCACCACTCCCCATCCCTCCCTTTATCTGTTCTCCCCCCCCACCCCCCCAAAAACACACTCTTTACCAGTATCACCCGCAGGTTTCTCGTCGGTCAGCACAGGAAGGCCACTGGCGAAAAAATCCATGATCACAGCAAAAATCTCGGGTTTGAGGAGCGCCCAGTCTGAGTCATCATCCGCCTGAGGATATTTCCACAATAATCAACAGATCATCAGCAAATAAAATACAAACATTCACTTCAATGAAAGAAAAGCACTAGAGTGTCAGAGGGGTGGTGCTACTGACGGAAGTGTCTTAAGGCCATTCCCAAAGGGGGGACATTAACCAGTTCTTATGCACAGTAGAATTGTAAATGGGCCGATTCATCGATGTCATGCTCATAACTGTGCCTGAACCTGCAACAGGGAACTGCTGCTTTTCCTTTCCTAATCTTTACTATCGTCACTTTTCCTCTACTTCTTTTGTATGTTTGTCACACTCTTGTGACTTGCTATTTCCGGGGTGCCTTGATAGTCGAAGCAGACTTTACGCTGTTGAAGCTAGAGAGGTGAGCAAAGTAAGTCTGATTCCCTGTAAAGACTTCTCTTTAGACATCCACCCCTTAACGCTCATATGACCGTATGCAGTTACGAGCGCCAAAAAACCTCTACCAAAACAAAAAGTGTGAGATGTACAGTTTTGCCAACACAACACTGGAGACATACAACACAGAGACTGACATAGACAGTACATTAAGGTTACATTCCTTCAACGACTCACAGAGCCCAAAATTTGACCCTTTTCACTCTCAGTGTCCATTACAGGTTGAGCTGAGCCTATCATAAAAATAGACAATAAACACAAACAATAATAAACACAAATGTATTAATAATTACACAACATCTAAAATTGACCCCAAAATAAGGCTAGCCACAGACAGTGCTCATCAGGTCATCATCAACATTACTTGTCATCAGAGGACAACAGGACTATGAGGTGGAAGAGACTGGCTTGTGTACTCTAGTTCCACGTTTGGCACTACAAATCCTCACCCGCTTAAATGGGCGGTAAAACACAGACTCTTCTGGAAACATGATACAAGTTATATCAAACAAATTACTTTCAGTGCTTTCACAGCAAAAACTTCTTCCCATTCAGGGCATTGAAAAATATCCCCTCCCCAAAAATCTATTCGACACTCTTCAAAACTTACTTTTTGTAATTGTCCCTTCCCAAAAATCTTTTTATCCAACCACTCGGTGGGTGTTTGGCGGGGGTGCTCTGGTGTGGTTTGCTTCTTCTTTCCTATGAAACATTTATCGTTATTATCTCCCCTTCTTTTTTTAAATGTTTGTTACTCTCTTGTAACACCTCTAATCTTCTGACGCTCATATGACCTCATGCAGTTGCGAGCGCTGTAAAACCTCTACTAAAACTAAAACTAATCCAACCACCCTGGACTTACTTTTGTTACTGTAACAGAATCTTTTGCAAAGAAAACACCTCGGACACCGTCAATGCGGAACAGCATTCTGTAGGAGAAAAGGAAGGAAAGATCAGTTACCAAACTAGGCCACCACACAACATTGTAAAGACATAAAACAATTCCTGGTCGCATCAAACTTTAGTTACACCGGTAATCTGGCCCATGCCATTTAGGTTACAGTATTGACATGCAGGTACTTACAATAATGAGGAATTGTCCCAAAAAGCTTTTACTACAACTACAAAGCATGACTTTTATTAAGGATAGAAACAACCAACACACAACTGTAATGAACATGAAAAAGTTTCATCAAACTCTTCTCACTTTGCTAGAGGAGAACAGTGGGCCGACTGGGGGTTGGGGAAGTCGAAGGTTCCACTCTCCAAAACTTCCACACCAGGCAGAAACTTGAGACTGTTAGGGTTGGGAGTATCTTGGGTCTGGATGAACATTGAACGTGCTGGGAGAAACACATAGGGAGATCCAGATTAAGTTCCAACCAACATCCCCTTCCTTGTCGACAAAATGAACCATGCATGCATACATTTTAGGAACACATTAACCAAACAGAAAATGAAACAAATCATACTGAACATTTATGCATACACACTGAATACCTATATGTGACAATAAAACTTTGTCCAACGTTTTTAATGATTTTTGTTTGAATTGCTTTTAAATTATTCTCATTCCTTTTAGCTGTCTCAAATCCAAGTGAAAAACACCAAAGACTTTCAAGATTAACTTTCAGTCGTTATTTTAGAAACATGTGCCAAGTACAACAAAACCTAAATTTATGAGTGTTCATTGAAATGGTAAAATTTGAGTCAGAGACTAATTTTTTTTTAAAGTCACTGAGATTTTCAACAAGGAGAGACATCTTACATTTTAACTAGACTGCAATTTATCTCAATTAAAGGGAAAAAAACCTTTTTATGTTAAAGGAGAAGCCATTCTCAATTTACAGTAGTCCACTGTAGTGTACATGTGTATGTCATCCACTTCCTAAAGTTTTTGAGCGTTCAAAGTGACTATGAACACTTTTTGACTGGAATGGGAAGCCTGGACTCCACGATAGAGAAATAGAGTAGTCTCAAGGGTGGCACTCACCTTGTATCAAAATCTGTGGGACTGAGATTCTCCGCAACAGCTTATTGTCCAGCTGCTTCTGCTTGAGCCAGGTGACGTAAGAACGACTTGGTTTTGTTGGCTGGTTTGAGTGTGCACCAGTGTACCCTGAGGCTGATGGCCCCAAAATGGCCACATGTCTGAATAAATTATAAATCCGACTTTCATGATTTTATGCACACACAAGTAATTGGGACATCTCTAGAGAAGAGGTTTTATCAAAGCTGAGAAGTGGATAATATGGTTGCTTATAGAAGCCTGTTGCCATAAAAAAAAGACTAAAAAAGACAAAAAAGACCAGTGAACAATAGAGGGAGAGAAGAAAAATATAAGGAAGTACCACGGAAATCAACTGCTTACTTCCTCCGACAATACTGTCGATACAACGGCTCACATTTTGATGAAAACCTATATAAATAAATATATGAAAATCTGAAGAAATAAAATTGATCTTAATTAATTCTAAACCCTGATTTTGCTGCTAAAACACTGTGATGTGACTATGTTCGAGTTGTGACATAGTGAATAGTGACTTAAAAGTTCGTGAGAGTAAGACAGTAGTAAGACTAAGATTAAGACCAGGTTCACCAGTACACCAACTGAACTATATTTTTTACTAGATCAACAGCCAAGAAACTGGTCATTTCATCACACCCAAATTATGTGTGACGAAATGACCTCGCTAGTCTCTCCAAAATTATGCTAGTAGGATTTTGGAGGACCAGCGTCAGCAGTCTTTATTCTAAATCATCAATTCAAGCATGTAATCGTTGAGCCGTGCCTTCTCGTTTTAAAGTAAATTAACCGTAAAACTACCCCCCACCCCTTTCACCAAAAAACCCCCCCAACTCAACAAAACTTACCCAGTTATGAATGGTGTGTGTATCTGATCAGGTTGGCATGACCACTCGCACACCCCTCCCCCTTCCACACACCACCCAACCCCACCCCACACATGCGACTTAACGTAGAACAACGCAAACTTTTTTTTAGGTAAGGCGGCCATCTTGTTTGACGTCAGACCGGGATACCCCTCCGATCACATGACTACATCTAAATACAGCCCACCGCATGGTACCAAAGATGGAAGTGTCTATTTAAATATCAAGCTCAATCTACCTTTCGCTGGTGGTGGAAGTTCTGATGGCCAAATGGACAGCGTGTCTGAGTTTGAAGTCATACAGTTATTTTATAAGCGTGGGAACGAATCCCCATCCCACAAGATTTTTTTCTCTCTCTTCTACTCCTTCCAACTGACCAACAGTAATTTTCCTCATAAATTATAATTTGTTGCTTTGTAGGTTTTTTTTTTTGGGGGGGGGGGGGGGGGGAAGAATCCTTCGGCGTCTTTACGGCAGTTTTCATGCGCTTAAATTGTCTTTGCGTTTACCGTGTTTCAATTTCAAGCATCAGCGTTCTTACTGTTCTGAGCATCAACGATCTAAGCGATCTTCGATCATGTCCAAGTACCGGAATTCCAAAATGTTATTAACATACCAGAAACCTTGTAACTTTTAACCAATTAGAGCATGGCTGATGGGCTGCAGTTAGCCGCAAGTGTGAAGATTTAACGTGGGAAACACATCGATATGGATAATACATCAAGCCACTGACCCAACATGTCGTTCCACGCGGTATCTCCAAAGATCGTGCAGTAGAGAATCTTTAAATCAAATTGGTATCTCCACAGCCTTCTAAAAATAGTCACTGGCTATCCCAGGATGTGAAGACATCACAATACTAAAATAAGCAGCCAATCAGGCAGGTGCGTCATTCTATGTTTAGCCATATATGCATGTCAACCCCACTCCCCAAAAATAGTGATTTGCGATTGTCATGACAATGTTTGTCTGATGTGCGAAGCAATGACTGTCTCCATTCAAACTTGTGGATTTGGGGTGTGATGAGATGACTGTGACATCTTGATCGCACCGGTGTGATGAAATGACTGGTCACCTAACACATGCAATTAAATGTAGAACGACGCAAACTAATTTTAGGTAAGGCGGCCATTTTGTTTGACGTGAGACCAGGATACCCCTCCGATCACGTGACTACATCTAAATATATATATAGCCAACTGCAAGGCACCAAAGAAGATAGTGTCCTATGCATTGTATTCAGGCTTTATATACCTCTCGCTGTTGGAAGTTCTGATGGTCGAATGGACAGCGTTATAATGCGTTTGAAATCATGCAATTATTTTATGAGCGTGGGATCGAATCCGGGTCCCGGAAGTTTGTTTTTTTCTTTTTTCTAGAACACTTCTCCTCCTCCCGACTGACTAACAGTTTGTCCCATAAATTATAATTTGTTGCTTTGTAGTTTTTAAAAATGTATTAGTGATGAAGCATGCAGGAGGGGGAGGGGGGTAGATCTAATCCTCCAGCATCTTTACGGCAGTTTTTGTGCGGTTTATTGTCTTTGCGTTTACCGTGTTTCAATTTCAAGCATCAGCGTTCTTAATCTTACTGTGTTCTGAGCATCAACAATCAAGATCTAAGCTATCTTCCATCATGTCCAAGTACTAGGAATTCCTAAATGTTATTAACCTACCGAACACACGTCATTCCATGAGGTACCTCCACAGCCTTCTTAAAATAGTCTGTGGGTATCCCAGGAAGTGATGACATCACATTACTAAAATTAGCAGCCAATCAGGAAGATGCGCCGTTCTACGTTTAACGGCATGTTCATCCAACAGCCCAATTGCACTTACAAACCTAAAAACTGTACTCCCCCCCCCCCCTCGACTCATCAAGGGATGACACCTCCATGGGCTAATTTAATATAATGAATAAGGCCACCTCTATTCTCACCCGGAGTGAGAATAGTGCAGGCGAGTCTTGTGGCTATTCTCACCCGCTGCACGTTCACCAAATTTTGCGTTCACCTTAAACCACAGAATTCTACACTGTGATAACAGAAAAATTGTAGAATTCTGTGCCGTGAACAAACCTTCCATTACAACTGTAGCCTACTAAAAGCGTACAATTTTGTCTGTGGGCAGTGGAGAGAGAGAGAGAAAGAGAGAGAGGAGTAGCGCGAGAATTTCCGGGCAAAACAAAATGGCGACCTGCGTAGTTCGGCTCGATTCGAAAAGTTAAATAGCCATAGCATCTTTGTAGACAACCAAATTAATTAAATTAGACTGTATTTTAAGTTCATCATATTTTAACTTTGTTTTGGTCAAGCAATTTGATCGTCCACACCGATAGACAGTATTCAGAAAGAGACAGAGAGAGAGAGAAGAAGGGAGGAGTTGATCTTCCGAGAACTTCCGGGCGGGTGAGGATAGCCACTTTCTGAATATAATAATGGCCTCGTAATTATAATATAAAACGGGGTGCCCATATTGCCATTGAGGGATCAGGTCAGGAAGATCGCCTGCCTCGTCACCTGAAAACAAACGCTTTTATTTTTGAGTTTGGGCCGATGAGTCGGGCGCGATCGCCCAGAATCTAGATCTAGACTTGCCACAATAGTACTGTCGATAGCCACTTTGTTTGTAGTTTGTGCCCTGCCTCAATCTGGCTACTGGCTAGCGAACTACCCCAACTCAACCCGATTCCCCAAATGGGCACCCCATATAAATCTACGACTAAGACTGGCTACGGCACTAGATATATAGATCTAGACTCTATCACTGATCATTGATAATTGACCAGTGACAAGAAATTTCTCAAGTGACGAGTCGAGAGTCGATAGATTACATCAGGCATCAGGTAAAGAGTTAAAAATTTTCTACTTTCACTTTCATCTCTCAACAGATTAGAATTACAATCAAACCTGATATCATGCCTAACGACCTGAATCTAAAATATAAAAGATCTGACCAAAATAAATCACGTTCATTTCATGAACTTCTACGCCGGGTCTCACCTGTTTGAGGACAGTTGGAGGGTAGAAAAACGACGCAGATGAAACTGACAAATCCCCCGTACTCCAGCCATTTTGACTTCTGCACTGCGGAACAGTTGTATGAACGAAAAAAACCAAGGTCAGATATTATCACTAACCAAATTGTTTCTTTCAACTTTCAAGATTGGAATGACACTCTCTGTAAATGCCATAGGATATTGTGTCTGATATTATTGATTTACTATATTTGCTGTATAAAAATGTAGTACATTTTATACATTCACCTCGCATCTAATGAGCGTCCCATAGAAACATTTCCGTTACATCTCCTGTTTTGTGTTTTCTTTCCATTGATGTACTTTTACTAAATAGCAACACAAAAAGAAAGGTATGATGCCTCTTTGGAGATCTATAACTATTATCCTGGATCACAGATTTCAAAATGTAAAATGAATTTAGACCTAGATTCTAGATTAGATCATCTTTTCTCAAGCTTGTTTTTTGTAAGATAGTTTAGCCCATACATACTGCCCATACTACTGGAATTGAATTTTGTACAGTAGCTGCTATAGCCTGGATTGGATTATTACTATAATCTAGATCTAGTCTAATCTAGATCTAGATATCTAGGTCTAGAATCTAGATCTATATAATACGGTAAACATGTTCACTTTCGTCTGACTGTGGTTAAAGCAGGGTAAAATGAAATTTCTCTGTTTAATCTTCTCAGATCTTTGCACATGGATCTAAAAGTCGGATGATCAGGCATAATAAGCCTATTCATAAAAGATCACTTCATATAGATCTAGATCTAGCCTACATGTTTTTTTCTACAGTCGATTGATTCATGACTGCCTCTGTCAGTTCTTTGCCACTGTTAAATAACTGTCTATCTGTTTGTCCGTCTCCACTATCAAATTACTATCATTGTCTGTCTTTCTCAACTGTCAAATTGTCTGTCTGTTCTCATCTGGGACAATTTAGACTGCATGATGCTCTTGAACTGAATTTGTGCAATGACCATATCTTTAGATCTCAAACTAACTGATGTCTGTGCATTGAACAGGGGGTCCAATGCCTTCCAATGCCAAAGTGTTTCTCCACTATGGGCCGTACGAAGCTGCTGCCACAGTGGAGTACCGACAGTCCAGGCTACAGGGGATGAAAAGTAGGGAAAAACGGAGTCTTTTTTGTTTAGTGGCTTACGTTTACTTCTATCTATTTTCTCCTGTTCGGTGAGCGAAAAAAAGATTAATGATTACAACAGGGAGAGAGAGAGAGAGAGAGAGAGAGAGAGATAGAGAGTGATAAAATGGAGCAAGCCCAAGCAGCGGGTGAAGTGAGAGAGGGCTACGGTGTGCTGCAGACTTCGCCTAGCTACACGCACACGTAATGTGTCATGTGCAGGCCTGCCACATGGCCACGAGAGAGGGCTGCGCTGTGCAAGGGAAACTACCCATGAATAAATACAGCTGGATTACTATTAGTCCACAAATGTTTACTTCGCCCTTGCATTTCTGATTTAATTTTAACGGGGATCTGATATAACTGGACTTTTTTCTCTGGTCCCACCATCCCTGTGATACTAGGTTTCCACTGTATACAGTACAGCCTGTCTATAACGACCTTCGATATAACAACATCCTCTGTATAGCCACATGGTGCCCACAGATCCTGATTCTTTCCTCATATTCATATATATAGTAACTTTTGGTTGCCTCTCTATAATGACAATAACTCTCTATTATGACTATTTTTTTCTGGTCTCGACGATAAATGTATATACATGGTATGGACTAGCCTTGGTATAGCTGAATGTGCAATGGCTACTCGCGACCGTGAAGGATGGAGGGTCATTACACATCAACCTTTGAGTCAGTGACACCTCCTAGAAAGAGGAAACTGTAGAATGCTTTTCCACAAGTGACAAGTGTACCCCAAGATGTGATTTTTATAATAACTGTATATATAGATCGTCTATGTATATTTATGGCATGATCTTAATCAGCAAGGAGCAATGGTTGATCAGGTAGATGTAATGAAGTGTGGAGCAAGAGTGGAGGGGAAGAGAGGAACCAAAGTTCCGTCTGTTTTTTTTTCCTCTCTTCACCTTGATACATTCTGTCTGTAGTGGAGCTTGGCTAGCAAAGGTAAGCTGTTGAAATAAGATTATCTGACATACAACAGGAAGACAGATGAGGGAAAATAGTTGTTGTACTTAGATTACCTGTCAAACCTCAGGAAAACAGATGTTTGAAAAAAAATGTTGAACTTAGAACTTAGTTTTTAGATTTAGTTATTAGTTTTACGGCACTTGCAATACATTTTTAGGTGGACTGATCTTCTTCACTCTGACTAATTATCATTTAATCTTTGCAGCGATCCTTAGTCGAGCTGGACATATTGTGGAACTGAGACCTTTCAAAGACTGGAATAGAGTGGAGATCTGGGTCAATGGAGAAAAGATTTTCAGCTGCGACATTCGAGATCTGGATTACGGTAAGTCTCTACTCATGAATACACCCTCTTCTGAAGAAGCCTTATTTCAGTACATGTAGGCCTCCTTTTTTATTAGTGTTCCAGATGGGTGCACTGTACAGTCCAGCTTGTTAATTTCTTATGCTGCAGAAGGTATATTTTTAAGTGCAGTCACTTGCTCTATATAGATAGTCGCAAATGCAACTTGTTTGTGTACTTGTTTACCATGTAACACAAAATTTTATATCCTTAAACAGAAATAAAAAATAGAGAAAACGTCTTAACAATATAAGTGCTGTAATACATTTCGGGTTACCCTTAAAAGAAAAATATAAAGTCACAAAAGAATTAGTAACTGTAATTATGACCCACTTTTCAAGTGGCAAATAAAGTAAAATTGAAGTCACTTTTTTTTTTTTGGTGGGGGAGGACAGCATTGATATAATATAATAATGTGTTCCATTTTATTGGAAGTATATTCTTTATTCTGTTAACCTAACTGAATCATGTAGCCTACATGTGTACATGCACACGTATTTCTTATGATAGTTCTACATTTAGTTACTGCAACAAATGAAGGAAAGACCAATAAAATCTTGGAAGATTGAGAAAAAAATTTGTTTTGTAGAGCACTTTCTGAGTGTAACACTTGATCCACCGACTATGAAACAAGCTGACATTACTAACTTTTCATTCTCTTCTGGAGCACTTTCTGAGCATAACACTCAATTATCAATAAAATAAGCAGACATTGTCACATTTACTACTCTGTGTTACCTTCCTGTCGCATTTCCAGGCGGTGATGGAGACCTTGACCCCTTATGTCAAGAAGCCTGCGAGGCTGTGAGACGTGCTTACTGATCCACTCCGGGTTTGAGAATGAAAGAAAGGAACAGAATTCATCATCACCATCAACGTCACAGTTTGTTCTGCCCACGGTCCAGACCTCCCACAGATGCCCATGCTGCATTCCTACAGCATTGCTCATGGCACTAACATTTTTCACCTCATGTCATGAATTGTTATTTGGTCTTGTTTTGAATTATTTTTTCTTCCAATCTATACAATGTTTGCTGGATGTTATGCAACAAATTTGTTCGCAGCTGCTTAAGGTAAACTGTGAACCCATGTCAATGTAATGGGTATGGGTGGGGTATTTATCTTAGACATCTTATTTCCTTGTGCCTGAATGATGTATTATGTCTCCTGTGCAGTCATTGTGAAGAGGAAAAAGAAATTGCTGTCTACGCTGACAACAGAAATCTTAAAACATTAAATGCTGAACTTGTTTCAGAGTCCCTAGTGTTATCTCATTTTCTCATTAACCCTCCAGTATCAGAAGTAACGGTTAAACTAACACTAACACTCTGTGGAGTCGGGGGAACGTGAAGTGTTTTCACTATGGGTCAAAAGATCCTAGAAAACATTGTGAAATGATCTTCACTGGAATTTCATTAAGAAGAAGATAAACAGTGTCAGTAATGAGTAATGTCAGCACTTTGTGCTGAAATCCCTTTGTGATTAAACTAAAACACTGTAAGTCATGACATTTTCACTTTAATTTCGGAACAGCCCTTGTACTAACATCTCGTCAGTCCAGTGGACTTATCGAAATCAGGACAAACTTGCAATAAATTACAACGAGTAAAAACGAATTCATGCACGAGAATGACCGCCAAGAAAGGGATTTTAGACCTACATGGACCAAACTTTCAGTGTCTTTGATATCAAGGCGGTATATTAACAGTGATGATGATAGCTACTGACACAATATGTACACAAGTCAGTGATGATAGCTACTGACAAAATGTACAAACCAGCCTGAGAGAGAGAAGGAGATAAGACTCGCCAGCTAACGCAATCTGTACCCCTTCAAAATCTATAAGTATCCATGCTGATATCAATTAAATGAAGAAACCACCTGAATTTAATAGCTGGACTTGTTTAGAGGCAGCAGCAGGTCAAATAAGACTGGGCACAGGGTGTATGGTCAATATCTCAAGTATCCCTACCCTTAAAAAACAAATGTCTCGACTGTAATGATTCTGATAACCATACATACACACACACGACCTTGTTGTATTGGAAAAGTAGCCTATAAACACGGGGAAAACTGCAATTCGTTAGCTCTTTCATTTATTCTTTTTTTTTTTTTAAAGTTCATTACAAAATACATTATGAATAAATATTTACATTCAGTCAATCATAGTATATGAAAGAAGAACACATGTGTGAACCACCCAGGTGTGCACACATCAGAGGACACACTCATATATATTCATATTCACTGGCCACTCAACTGTAGGACCTGTCTTTTCTTTTTAGTAAAGGTTTTACTGCACCTGCAACTGCGCAACACAATTAGGTTATATATATTATGTTGAAGATTAGTGGTGTTACAAGAGAGTAACAAATACAAATAGGAAGGAGAGATAACGCTCTGACTAAGCGCTGCACACAGCAGAATTATCACTCAACACAATTGACAAATGAAAAGACAGAAAATATGTACATTGTAAGACCATTTAACAACCCATACACATCCCCCCCCCCCCCCCCCCCCAACGCACATAACTCTCAGACCTACACATACATTCTCACACATTTAAAACTAGTATCTCAGAACTGTGTACTTGGGGGGGGGGGGGGGGGGGGGGGAAATAAGTTACGATGTTAAAAAAAAAATCTCAGCTTTTAATATAAAATCAGTATGAATCCATTTACTCAGTAGATAGTGTACTTTATATAAATGTGCGATTAGTCGGTATTGGTACTTGTGCAGCATGTGAAAGGTTTCCCCGTAGCCCCTGATAAAAATACAAATTCTTGCCAGGGTTTGCAGGAAGCAACACAAGGCCTGAATCTTCCAGAAACTCAAACCCACATTCACACAAATGCCAAAATACATCTTAAAAAAAATTTTTTGCTCACAAATGACAAAATACATCCTTAACCTCTCAGCCGCCATGGTGTGTGCATTCCTACTATTAGCATTCATTTTCAGCATTGCATGTAAGCCAGGACAGCAGTCTCATGTCTCAGTTTTAGGGGACTCACGGTCTAGATCTATCAACTTGTGACATATTTCAGACCCCAGGTCTTCGATCGTGCAACTTTCTTCACTTTCCACAATCCCTGTATTCCTTCCCATCTTACTCATAATTTTGAAAAACTTGCAAATCTAAGTCAAAAGGTGAAATTTTCTGCCCTTTTAAAAGTCATTGTGGTGTTTGTTTCGTGAGAGCAGACGTTCGCCAACAAGACTAGACCTGTGTTTATCCATTATTTGCAAGCCTAGCAGTAAACTAATGCTAGCAAATTTGCTATCGATAACGTGACGTACATGTTGGCATCATATAGGCAACCAGGAGTGGAAAATTTTGTCATCTTTAGTGACGTCCATGGTGAGTCAAAAGGCAATAAAGGGGTTTTAAAATATTTTTTTAAAAAATACCATTTTGACTCATAAATTACAAAATACATCTCCAAAAACCAACACGTTTGAACACAAATTTTTGCACTTGCGAACAATTTACTTTATCCACCACATGATCAGAAACAAGCCAGTCTGGTCACCATACCACAGACATATATCGCCTCTCTGTCACAGTCTAGTCACCAGACATATCACCTCTCCATCAGTTTCCAGGCATATCGCCTCTACGTCAGAGTCAAGTCACCAGACATATCCCCTCTCCATCAGTCTAGTCACCAGACATATCGACTCTCTATCATGAGTCACTGTTTTGTCACCAGACATATCGCCTCTCCGTCACAGCCCAGTCACCAAACATATCACCTCCCTGTCAATCTAGTTACCAAACATATCCTCTCTCCGTCAATCTAGTCACCAAACATATCCTCTCTCCGTCAATCTTGTCACCAAACATATCATCTCTCCATCAGTCTAGTCACCAAACACACCACCTCTCCGTCATAGCCCAGTCACCAGATATCGCATTTCCGTCCGTCTAGTCACCAGACTATCGCCTTTCCGTCAGTCTAGTCGCCAGGAAGCACACATATTTATTCTCCGTCACAACCTAATCACCAAACATATCGACTCTCTTATCACGAGTCACTGTTTTGTCACCAGACATATCGCATCTCCATTAGTCCAGTCAGACGTATCGCCTCTCCGTCAAGTCTTGTCACCAGAAATTGCTTTTCCGTCAGTCTAGTCGCCAGGCAGCACACATACTGCCTCTCCGTCATAGCCTAGTCACCAGACATATCGACTCTGTTAGGGGTCATTGATTTGTCATCAGACATATCGACTCTCTATCATGAATCGCTGCTTTGTCACCAAGCACATCGCCTCTCAATCAGGCTCTCGTCACCAGGCGGCAGACATACTGCCTCTCCGCGACGGCCGACTCCTCGTCTTCCCCCTCATCTGCAGCATGCCCCTCCCCCTGTGGCCCCTCCCGGGGAGCCCTCTGTACCCCTGGACACCCACCAGGCCCCCCCTCCCGGGCACACCGGCCTGCATCAAGGCGTGTGGCTCCGCCGGGAAATCGTGCGCAGCCGGCAGCCTGTACATATCCTCCTCCCCAAACGTCTCCACGCCGTAGTCGTTGTCGTAGCCAAAGTCTCCACCGTCCCACGGCCTGACAGCAAGGGAAAATAAACAAAAATTAGAAATTAAAAATTAATGCATTCCATTTATACTTATAAAGCACATTTCCACTAAGAAGACAGTGCTCAATGCACTTTGTCGACTTAACACAGAGGGCTACATCACGGTCAAATTATTGACTCAACACCGAGGGCTAATTTTTGACTTAGCACAGAGGCTTACATTAGAGTCACATTTTTTACTTAGCACAGATGGTTACATTAGTCACATTAGTAACTCAACACTGACGGCTAAATTAAAGTCCCATTGTCATATTGCCGACTTAAAACAGAGGGTTACATTAGTCATATTGCAGACTTAAAACAGAGGGGTACATTAGTCATATTGCTGACTTAAAACAGAGGGGTACATTAGTCATATCGCTGACTTAAAACAGAGGGGTACATTAGTCATATTGCTGACTTAAAACAGAGGGGTACATTAGTCATACTGCCGACTTAAAACAGAGGGTTATATAACGGTCACATTGTTGACTTAACAAAGAGAGGTATATTATAGTCCTATTGTTGAATTTACCTGATATCACAATTCAAGTCAATGGGCCACCATGAAGTGCACGATCTGGGATATTCTGATACAAGTCTATGGCACGCACTCACCCCGAGTCAAATCCTGGGCCAAATGCGGCCATCTCGGCATCGTAGAATCCGCCCGACTGCTGCAGCAAGGCAATCTTGGCCTCGATGACCTTGGTGCTGCGCTCCAGCTGGTCCTGTAGCGAGGCTATTTCCTGTTTGAAGGAGTCGCCCACGGACCCCCCGGGACCAGAGCCCCTGCAACAGACAGACAGCACAGTACAATATTGTTTGTTTATAATTCAAGATGCCACCGTTTCCATAGAAACAGTGAAGTCAACCCCCCCCAAAAAAAAATCTGTTTTTCTTTTACAAGTCTGTCTTTCTTAGTGATAGTGGGAAGTTTCAGTGCAAATACCTTGAAATGAGCAAGTTTGAAATTCTAGGAGCCTCTTCCCCTAACCTTCCAAACAACAGAAAACAAAGAGTCAAAATTACTTTTTACCACCTCACGCCACCAGTCGATAAAACAAAAAGATTTTTTTGTCTACATTGCCGGGAAGAAAGAAGGATAAAAATGAGGTGTAAATTCACATGCTGCAGCTGCAGGCAGCTATAAGAAAAAAAAACCCTCAAATCACCTGATGGCCATACTGCCCCCCGGCACAGGGTACATCACTCCGCCCCCACCCGGGACAGAGTTCAGTCCAGAATTGTTGTTTCTCCGCAGCTTTTCATTCATCTTTTGTCTGCCAGTCATAGGAACAGGCATGCCAGGACCAACGCGCTGAAACCAGAAATATTTTTTTCAGTTGTGTGTGTGAAACCAAAAATATTCTTTAATTGTGTGAAACCAAAGACATAATCTCCTCACTGTATGAAACCAGAAACATCATTTTTTTATTGTTTGAAACCAAAAATATTAATCTATAGTTGAGCGAAACCAAAAGTATTATTCTGTATTGTGTTTAGATTAGTTTTAGTTTTAGCAGAGGTTTAATGGCGCTCGCAACTGCATAAGATCATATGAGCGTCAGAAGATTAGAGGTGTTAAAAGAGGGTAACAAACATAAAAAAGAAGAAGGGGAGATAAGGACAATAGATGTTTCATAGGAAAGAAGAAGCAAACCACACCAGAGCACCCGCCAACCACCCACTCTGTATTGTGTGATACGAGTCATGAAACACACACCATCAGTGTTATAGAACAACAGTAATATATAATTGTAAGGGTAGCAACAGTAATATGCAACTGTAACAGTTAGAAAAGTACCATATAACTGTAACGGTAATGACAGTAATATTTAACTGTAAGGGTAACAACAGTACCATAAAACTGTAATAACAGTAACATATTATAACTGTAACAGTGACCAAAGTAATGTGTGCCATCAGTGTAACGGTAACAATAGTAAAATATAACTAACAGTACCAACAGTAACATATAACTGTAACAGTACCAACAGTAACATATAACTGTAACAGTACCAACAGCAACATATAACTGTAACAGTACCAACAGATAACTGTAACAGTACCAACAGATAACTGTAACAGTACCAACAGATAACTGTAACAGTACCAACAGTAACATATAACTGTAACAGTACCAACAGCAACATATAACTGTAACAGTAACTACAGTAACACAAAACCGTAACAGTACCAACAGTGACATAACATATCTGTAACGGTAACAACAATAACCTATAACACTAACGGTAACAACACGGTAACCTGTCCCCACGAGCCCGGCACTTACGGGAAACGGGGCACTGACTGGTCTCATGAGTGGCATGATGGCCCGGCCCAGACCCCTGGCCCGCTGACCCGAGCCGCCGCCGTCCTTGGTCAAGCCTCTCATCCGGGGGCCGGAGAAGGCTGTGGCTCCTCCCCTCCCGCCCCTTCCCATCCCGTGACCCCCACGACCCCTGGCACTGGGGAACGGACTGCTTGGCTGGACAGCATTACTGGACGCAGACACGTGCTCTTGTTTCCTCTTGGTTCCCCCGTCTGGCCAGAAATAAATCTTGGTTAGTTCTAAGGGTTGATTAGAGAGCTTTAGTTTTAGTAGAGGTTTTACGATGCTCGCAGCTGCATAAGGTCATACGAGCGCCAGAAGACTAGAGGTGTTACAAGAGAGTAACAAACATAAAAAAGAAGAAGGGGAGATAAGGACGATAGATGGTTCATAGGAAAAAAGAAGCAAACCACACCAGAGCACTCGCCAACCACCCACGATTATAGAGTTTTATGGCGTTTGCAGCACAAACAGGTCACATAAGTGCTGAAGATTAGAGGTGTTACCCCCAGAGTAAAACACAAATCAAAGAAGGCGGGGCGATATGGACTAAGGTAGATAGATATTTGATAGGAATGAAGGAGCAAATTACACTAGAGCATCCGCCATCCGCCAATCATCCACAAAAACCTTGCCACAGACTGCAACATCACAACCATTTACACTACAAATCTTTGGCAAACATATATATCCATTCTAATCATAATATACAGTAGCGACGGGGATGTGCGACAGGGGGGTCAGCGCGCCAACCCTTTGGTATGAACTAATTTAGACGTGCTAGAGTGTTCCTGCGTTTATCAACATCCAACAGCATCCTTTCCTGAGGCATGAGATCCTTGGTAGGTCGCTGTGGTTGCTTACCGCACACACACAGACTTAAATTATTTCCCGGCTTGCAGATTACATATTCTAACAGTGCATCGACCTGCAGTTGTAAGGCTGTCAATTCATTTTATGAAAATGTGTATATTTATACTACACACACAGCAGGGTGTTGTGCATGAAGCATCAGTGCTAAGCAAAGCACGGAGCCGCTCAGCCTCTCTGAGGGGATGTATGGGGGTAGGCGCGCAGTGCCGCCATGGCGTCCAGTAAGGCGGGGTTCGCCTCTCAGACCTCTGCAGCGAGAACTGGGTAATATTCTATTGCCTCAAGGCCCACACCAGCCACCTGACACAGCCTCTGGACCAGCAGCTCGGCCGGAAACAGCCATGATGGGATTCACCAAGTCAGGGCTGTTTCCCTACAACCCTGACGTTGTCCTTATAAGTGACAAGCTGAACCCAGCTGTACCTTCACAGGCTCCCCTGCCCCTACCCTCCACTTGTCATCCACCTCTTCCGCCTCTGAACCTTCCACGACATCACGTGCTTGCCGCAATCTACTCAAGGAAATATTCTCCGTGAACTTTAAGCTTTGGGAGAAGGTGGACCTGTACCTCAAGATCGACCCAGACTACATGTGGTCCAGTCTGACGGACACTATTGAACAACTGGCTCCTCCGCTCCCCCAGCCATCAACAAGAGCCCTGAAACCTCAGACCCCCTCCAGGCAGATGACCATTGACAAGATGCTCACATTGCCGTCATGTTCAAAGAAGAAGGCTGTTAAAAGACCTCAGCCACCTGTGCCTCCATCCATCATTGGAAATGACTAGAAAGAGATGATACTCACAAAGAAGAGGAAGGCGGAAGAAGAATAACAACTGAAGGAAGAGAGAGAGAAAGAAGCAAAGGGAGCAGAGAAAAATGGAAGAGCTAGCACATGCTGAAGACAAGAAGGAACGCCAAAAATAGAAGAAAAAACAAAGGGAGCAGGCAAAGAAGGAGATAGAAGAGGAGGAGAAGAAGAGGAGAATTCAGGAGAAGATGAATACTTTGGTTGTGGCCTCGCAGAAGAAGAAAGAGGAGGAAGAGTCCTCTGACTCGGGAGAAGAGCCGGTGTATGATGACAGCTCCGACGATTGTTAGTCGACTGTGCTGGGTGTGGAGCCACCACCGTAGGACAAGTAGTGCACACCCAGAGCATGCTTTGTGACAAGTGGTGGCACGCCAATTTTGTCAAACAGATGGACCTGAAGGACAAGACTCAGGAAGACCTGGATGCCATGGACATTGAGCTCTTTTGCTGAATTGACTAATCTCCCCATCCCAATTGTTTCATACAAATCGCGGGAAAACAATATCTTTGTTTATCCATGTGCACTTAGATCCACATGTAGGTCTACTTTGCTGTTCTTATATAATTTAATTCATGATTTTTATAGTTATCTAGACTCTTTAACAGATTACTTTTTACATTGTCAGTGTTGGCTTCAGTTTTTTTAGTTTTCTTTCTCTTTTGGCTATACATAAGAATTGAGTGTCTCTTGTAACTAACTCTTGTGTAATTTGAGACATGTTGTGGTGGAATCAGGCGCTCGTCAATTTTTGGGCATATGGAGTTATTGGTGTCATCTTAAAGGCTGTCTATTTGCCTTGCTTTTGATGCAAAAATATTCATTTATCACGGATACAATTTGAGATATCAGCGATTGAAGGAGGTAGGGGTGGCCTGGTTTCAGAGGACAAAATTAGTGAGAAAATGGTCCCAAAGTTTTGTTATTTCCTTAGCTTGAGAGAGCATGGAAACTTAAAAATTACATATGTTATTCCTTTAATCAACGTTCTTCAGTAAAATCCACACAGAAATGTGTTCTTTAAGGGGCATGAAAGGTGTAAAGCCAAAATACAAAAATTCTATAAAAATTCCCAAAGTTGCAGAAAAATGCCAGTTTCTTCACTTTCATTATTTTGACGAGCGCCTGATTTCACCACGCTGCCTCACATTTGTAAGAATATTTCCTCCTTTGTGACTAGAAAATCATACATTAGCCTATAAGATTCATAATCAAAAGTTGTTAGGACATGTTGCAAGACCCGCCCTATCCCAGCGCACAGCCCCTCCATAATAAATAAAATAATAATAATAAATAGCATTTGTATTGCGCATATCCCCGCTCAACAGCAGGCTCTATGCGCTTTACACTAACTATATTATTACCCCAGCAGACCATAGAACACTCCGAAACATTCTCAGCTTCCCGGGAAGCATACAGTGCAAGCAGCTGATTAAGCGCTGAAACACTAACAAACTGACAAGATCTTTCGCCGTCTATAGCCCGGTACCCATTCCCACCTGGGTGAAGTGAGGAAAATTCGTGTAAAGTGCCTTTCCCAAGGACACAACGTCGGGCCCCTGACGGGATTCGAACCCACGACCTTTGCAAGTCCGAGAGCCTAACCACTAGGCCACCGACGCCATAAAACGTATCAACCTCCAGCAGGAACATGCATCCCCGCTGATTGTCGCACACACCCGTCCTCACTTTGCCACACAAATGCCACTGTTGAGAAAGGCAAACAAAGCAGGCATAGAGCGCTGGGCCGACGACAGCAGAGGAAATTTGCTTCTCATCAGTCATTGAAGGTTTACCTCCCCCCTCACCGGGGACCGGCAAAGTGACTTTATATTATGCTTAGGGTAGCGCGGACTATTGCCTCTACTCTATAATATTCTAGTTTCATTTCAAAGAATATTTCTGTCATATATTTTAGTTTCACTCCACAAATGTATCTGTCATATATATGTTAAGTTTCATTTCACAGAGTATTTCTGTCATATATGTTACTTGACACAAACTGTCACACACACACACACATACACACACACACAAACACTTACCATGAGTAAACGGGGGAACCACTGCAACAGATAGACACACAATTCATTAACATTCAGATGCAGTAAAAGATGGGCACAAAATTTATGCAGTAAAAGTAAAACATTCAAACACTATTCATCTCATTTAGGTACAGTTTTAAAAAACCCAATAACAACGGCAGAATTAATTTGTTTCACAGAAAACTTGGAGAATTTCTATCAAGTTTCTTTAACATAATGATTTTCTCTTTCAGTCCCCTTTTTTTTAAAATACGTCCATTCTTATTGGAAAATAAAGAAATGCAAATCCTTTTATTACAATAGAAAACTTGGATAAGCTAAGAAACTTTCACAAAACAAGTGTCACTTCCTCAAACACAGGATGCTTATTTCTGAGCTGCCTGCAGTAATTTGACGAGGGGGAACTTAGTACTGAGGCTACAACACAAGATCCAGTCACAAACTCCTCACTCACCCATGGTCTCCTTGTCATTGGCCTCAAAGCCAAGCTGTTGCCCGTTCATTACCACCTTTTTGTGGGCCAGGACAAACGCTCGGCAACTTCCGCGGGTCAGACAGTCAAAGTCCAGGCTCCTACAGGGAAAGGTAGAGTTGAGGTTTTCCGAACACTGTGTGTGTCTATATGTGTGTGTGTGTGTGTGTGTGTGTGTGCGCACGCGTGGCTTCATTGTGAAATTGAAAATGGGCGGCTGTCTTACACAAGTTCGACGATATAAAGTATAACACGGATAGGCAGAACACGGATAGGTCGAACACAGAAGACTCGAAATCACGCATTCGTCAAACTTTGCCCGCGGTCCCGTTTTTTTCTTCTTTATCTTTGTAAGATATCCCTCGAACTACCGAGGCCGGTCCCGACAAATCCGAGCCATCCGTGTTATACTGTATATATAATATGTGGTGGCCATCATGGGAGGTTCGACAGTATATATATATATATATTTTCATGCTCTATCCTACAAGCTTGTTGAAACGTGATTTCAAAATCTTCCAAAAAAGTGAAATCTTTCCCATCATATACACAACAAATGATACGGTAACGGTTTTCCGTGGTTACGACTTTTTAAAACCAGAAACTTTTTGTCAACTAAAAGAGTCTGCACTAACAGACACAAAAGAGTGTCCTCCTTACTCACAGGCGGACCTGCTAGAGGGAAGATGTTTTCTTCCCATTCCCTGGCAATCCTATCAAATATAAAAACAAATTTTGCTTTCCATAAAGGGAAAGTAGGGAAGTGCCACAGAACGTGGGCAGGGTCAGGGTGGGGCTGGGGGTGGGGGGGGGGGGGGGGGTGTTGGGAAGATGAGGGGTGTTGGGAAGGGGAGGGGGTAGAGGCAGGGGCAGGGGTGGGGGGGGTACAAAAACCATAAAGCTCAAATAATGTATGTGAGGTACAGTGCTGTAAAGAAACCTTTTACATTGGAGTTCTTGTCAATTTCAAGAACTCTTATAATTAGGCACAAAATTTTCACCTGACCATCAAGATTTGTACAGCAAATCTTCACTTGTCCCTTGTGCAGGCGTTTACAGCTTACCCATGAAAACCTTCAATATCCTGAAGCTTCTGCGACGGGTTTGTCTCAGAAACTTTGCGAGTTTGCCCCATAATCACTGGGAAGGCCCGGTTAAGAATCACTTCCAGAAACCCCAGAGTGATAGCTCCGGGTAGATTTGAGACTTTAGCTGAGCGATCCCGCAACTCTCCTGAAATATGTCAGGTCACGCTGAGACAATTTGGCAAAATCACAAGACACACGCACAATCCACACAGCTCCCACATTTCCCAACCACCTGCATACATTTCAATGCTGGATACAAAAGATTCACACCACTGTATCTTTTTAAGTAGACACTTTAGAGAAAGCATGCAGTCTTTCTGGTGTTTCTTAAGAGGGAAAAAAAAAAAGTGATATTCAAAAGCAACATGGTAGCAGCTTGCAAAGCAACAATGGTCTTTGCAGCTTTAACATTTGCCTTCACATGTAAGCTTTCGACGAGAAATGGACAAAATGTAAAGAACTCTCTGGCTGGCTCACAGCTTTGAGCTGTGTGCTCTAAATAAACTCCACAAGTAAACTACCCATACACAACTGTGTCAAAAGACTGTTTGACCAGCGACATAACTCAATAACAAGACACTCTAACAGAAAGGTCAAAGGAAACATGACTGCCACATGAGTCCCAATGGAAATACACTGCAAGGCTTCACAACTCCTATCAAAGATACCTAGGACAGATTTTTCACAAAAAGAACAATTTTCTGGTAATTTGGGACAATTTTGTCAAACGGATTAAACAGGAATCATATCATAGTCAAGCCACAATGAAAAAACCCCTTCTCTTTAACAAATTTCACTGCCATGGCAGAAGTAATGCTTCGCTGCCAACAAACTATATAGCTTGATTTTGCACAAGCTCTTTCAACACAAAGAGAAGATTTTATGCTAGCATCTCACCTAGTTGTTCGGTGTAGAAAGCATAATGGCTTTCTATAGTTCTATAAAAACAAACGATAGGCTGAACACTTTTCAAACAGAACAAACATTTTACCTTTAGCCTTTTCGCGGAATCGAATTTTGCAAAGAGAGTACGAATTCACCTCCAGATAAGCTGAAAATAAAAGTACATGAAAAGAAGTAAAATGACAGCGCACGGTGCTGGATTGAACAATAATGAGCAAATGGAATATGTCACACATATCATTAATTTTCAGAGGAATGAGAGATTTATTCAGGATATGTGAACAAAGTATGGCTTCTCAAAGTTTGCACTCATGTGTCTTCTGAATTTTAAAATAAATGTATGCACGAGGGAAGGGCTTTTGGTCTTTCTTCGGTTCAGAATAATGAACTTCTACAGTATTGTACAGAACAACACGGGCCACAGTGTGGATGAAATATGCCCATAATGTCCTCACACTAATGTTTGTGTATGATGCTGAAGACACATATCATAAACTCTGAATATACATCAATCATTTGGATGATCCATACAAATTCATCATATAGTAGCAAACACTCACAGGTACATGGGACTTTGGTTAAAAAAAACCCAAACAAACAACCCCCCCCCCCCCCATCTTTCAAGTCATGGCAGCTTTTGGGTATCTTTGAGCACGCAGGAATGAAGGCAGGACATGGATGAGTAGATCCTAGGGCCAAATGGAAATTTTTTTTCCATCTTCAGCAATGTCCACAAAATCGGAAACAAACCTGACTCCGTCACACCAAGGTCAGGGTCACGTCTGGTGACCTCCACAGTGAGTTCCTTGGCAGCCATGCTCTTCCAGGTCATGCTGCGCATCACAGTCTTAGCAGTCTGACGATCGGCCAGGAAGATCTGCACACACCTGCGGGACGTACACAGAACACTCGACACTACACACCCACACACAGGAAGTTCACACGTCCAAAACAAGAAACTTACAGATCTTTGTTGCTAGGCAACAACTAAAACTGAACTGGGGGTGAAGGAACCTAACTTTATTATAGTTCTGTTACTAGACAAACCGATTAAAACTTAGCTGGGGTGCAAGATCAACGACTACAGTCCTGGTGCTAGGCAACAACTGAAACTGAAGGTGAGGGACTCATGACTACATAGTCTTGTTATTTTTATTATAGTAGAGGGTTTTGCTGCGCTCGCAACTGCATAAGGTCATATGAGTGCCAAGGGGTGGGTGTCAACAGAGAAGTCTTTACAGGGAATCAGACTTACTCTGCTCACCTCTCTAGCTTCAACAGCACAAGGTCTCCTTCAACTATCAAGGCACCCCGAAAATACCAGGTCACAAGAGAGTGACAAACATACAAAAGAAGAAGAGGAAAATGACAATAGTAAGGATTAGGAAAGAAAAAGCAGCAGTTCCCTGTTGTAGATCAGGCACAGTTATAAGCGAGACATGAATCAGCCCATTTACAATTCTACTGCGCTTAAACGAGAAATGTCCCCCCTTTGGGAATGGCCTAAAGACACGAGTCGGTGGCACTGCCCCGGGGGGGTATAGTCTAGTTGCTAGGCAACGATTTAGACTGACTTGGTGTGAAAGAACCATGACTGTATGGTCATGTCCTCTCACACCAGTCTGATGTGTAAAACGCCTTAAAATACAGTCCACTTCATTCCTTTCTGCCAAGTTTCTCTTTCCCCACATCTCCAAACATTGACATGATATATATTCAGCTAAGAATTTTATCCCATAAATCAGCATGTTCTGTATTTCCTAGCACAAACAGGACATCATTCTGACCCCCAGACTTCATTAACCAAACAAAGCATAATTTATACATGCATAATTAGACATACGTGAGGCATCGTGGTGAAATCAGGCGCTTGTCAAAATAATCAAATCAAAGGCATTTTTGTTTGGCCGGTGGGCAATTTTTTTCCAATTTTCTTTTTTTTTGGCTCAACACCTTTTACGTCCATTCAAAACACATTTTTGTGTGGATTTTACTGATAAATATTGGTTAAAGGCACAAAAAATGTAAATTTTCAGTTTCCAATGACTCACAGGCAATGGAAGTTACCAAACTTTGGAGGCCATTTTCTTGCTAATTTTACCTCTGAAACTAGGCGACCCTGACCTTCTTTAATAGCAAATATTTCCACTTCTATCAAACATAGATGGATTTTTTTTCATCAAAATGAAGGCAAATGAATAGGCTTTAAGATGATACCGATAACCCCATTTGCCCAAAAATTGACGAGCATCTGATTCCACCATGTCGTGACATACATCATCATTCAGCCAAAGGTCACAGCCTCAAGGTCAGCAGCAAAAACTTTTACACTATGCCACAAGAACCGCAAAAGCAAATGAAGGTACTCACCCCTTTCTCTGGCGAGTCTGCAAATCTGGCGATTCAGTGGGGACTTTTTTCTTCTTCATGACCACTCGCGTGAAGTGCGACAGTTTGATGACCTTCACAAAGTTCTCTGTCATGTCCTCCGCACTCCAGGGGTAGACCTCGATGAAGTAAGTCCACTTGAAATCTGGGCAACATCATATATTATGTGAATATCGTGGTGAAATCAGGTTCTCACCAAAATAATTTTTAAAATCGAAGAAACTGACATTTTCACGCTGGTTCGGCAATTTTTATTGATCTGCCTAGATTTTATTGAAAAATCTTGATTAGATCTAGAATCTAGAGACACACACAAAAAAATGGAAATTTTCAGTTTCTAAGGACTCTTCAGCTTTGGAAGTCACCACACTTTGGCGGCCATTTTCTCTCTAATTTAATCTCTGACACCAGGCAACCCCTACCTCCTTCAATCGCAAATATCTTGACTTCTATTCAAGATAGACGGGTACTTTTTCATTAGAAGCAACACAAATGAACAAGCTTTAAGATGATATCATAAATCCGCATGCCCAAAAAATTGACGAGTGCCTGATTCCACCACCTCGTGCGTGTTTCACAGGACAGGACCCTACTAAACTCTCACTCAAATATCCATATCAAGTCACACATTGACTGATCCAACACACCCGACTACTCTCTCATACATCCATGATCTAAACTGGCTGATCCAATATGTCTGACTGCACTCTCTCTCTCTCTATATATATATATCCATGATCCACACTGACATATTTTATTTGTTACAAGGAATAGAAGAGAGCACCGTTCCACGACATCCACAATGAGTTGATTGGTAATTAAAATACTATTCTACACTGTACGTCATGGCTTGTATTTTAATAATTAATTAGCAGTCTTCACTACAGAGAAATCGAGGGGTCTCTCGTGGCCTACAGGTTAAGGTGTTGGCCTCTTATTCAAAGGTCCCGGGTTCGAATCCGGGTAGCGACCGACATATTTTGAGATAAAAAATTGTCTCCTTTCACCTCTTATCCTGCTCTCTAGCAATGTTCTGCCATCTGCCTTCGTCTCCTCTTTCTGCCCCGACCCCCTCACCTTCTCTGGGCTCCTGACTCTTTCAACAGCCTTTCTACAGCTACTCTTCGGCTCCTTTTTACCGCTGTCTTTCAACCGCATCCTGATCTTCGGGTAGGAAAGATCACCTAGCTTTCTCGGACAAGGGTGAAAAATCTCTGAGGTCCTGTGTGCAAGTTGCGCACCTTACAGATCCCTTGGTGGTCCAAAATCGATAATAGCACAGATCCCTTGGTGGTCCAAAATCGATAATAGCAGGCTTCAGCCTCCAACCACGCAAAATTCTAAATTTCCTACCAAAAGAAAATGTTTGGTGTATCCCGCACGCTCATGAGACCTTCTGCAGTTGCGAGCGCCGTAAAACACTTACCCCCCAAACAAATATTTTTAAAATGAAGAGAAATCAAGCCATCAGCATGCTCTGCCTGTTTTTGTTGTTGCCAGGACAGCCAAAGTCAGTTTTCTGTTGATGTTGAATGTCTTGGCAACAGCAGAAATGCGTGGGGCATGCCAGTGGCTCAATTTCTCTGAAGTTAAGTTAAACCTACCACCTTTCGTGGGAGACAAGGATCAAATGCTACTGAGTTTTTTAATAATCAAAGAATTAAACTTAATATTTAAAAATAACGAATTGAAGAAATGCCACGCAGTCGGAAAAAAAAGCCAATTTTCTATTTTTGATGCTGGCGCTGTGAATATTAATTGAAGCACAAAAATGTCATTTTCATAACAACATAGCCTACATTTTAGACCACTTGGTATTGTGAAAGAAAAAGTGTAGAGACTCAAAATCCAGATATTTTATGCAATCAAAAGTGGTACCTTTCTTTTGATTATCAGTATATGAGGCATGCGAACAAAATGAGTTACTTCTCACAATCCACAACTGGAGATATTGGCCAAAAATCGACACAAGGGTCAAATTTGTAGATTTTCTATAGATGCCATATATACATGTATAATACTCCTTAAGTATGACATGCCTTTTACAATTTCATAATAAATTGTAAAAAAATCACCTATAAGTGTGATGTATCTATTTCCAAAGAGCTCGAATCCGAGAAGTAAACAATTTTGTCAGCATGTTTCACATGAAAATTATGTATTATTACTTACCCGGTTCTATGTTCCTGGCTTCATCAATCTCGTCCTCCAGTTTCATGTCTGTCATGAGGTCCTCTGCCGTCTCATCCACATCGTTTGACCCACCCTCCTCTTGTTGTTCCTCCTCCCCAACTCCACCAAGGAGTTCATTCTCGTCTGCGTCTTCCACCGCATCCATTTGCACCAAGGAATCTGTGTCCGTTTCTTGACTTTCCATCCTAGCAAAAGAATACACCAAAGAAAAATGAAAAAAAAAAAAAAAAAAGAACTCACAGAAAGATCTTAAGCCTCCCCTCCCCTAAAAAACACATTTTATCATTGGTATCGCAACCAATCCACTCAAATCCGTAAATGGGTACATTTTTTAATTTTACACAAGAGACCAAAAAAACAAACAACTAGTCATTGTTGGGTAAATTTTTACTTTCACTCCTGCACACAGATGCACTGCTCTGAGGGTCAGGCTGCAATAACTTTTGCTGCAGATCACATGGCTAAAAAAAACTGTAGTGAATCAGTTATTTTCAAGTAAAATTCAAACCTGAAGGCAAAACATGACACAATTATGGGGAAAATATTTTTTAAACTATTGATTTGCGATAAATATAAAGCCAATTTGATACATTTGTGTAAACGTATAGAGATGAACAAGAAAAAGGCTACAATTATATATTATATAAATCGGGTGCTTGGGTGTTGTCCTTATCAGGAGTCATCGAAAATAATGAAAAGCAAGAAAATTGATAGCCTCGGTTTTGACCACAGCCAGCATTAAAAAAAACTAAACTACATTTTGGTGACATTGAAAGGCGCATCTGACCTGGGAATAGAGCTTTTGGAGGGTGCAAAAATCATCTTAAAAAACTCTCAAAAATTGGGTGTAAATGGATTGCTTGTGACAGCAACAATATGTAACCAATCAAGAAAAATGATTTAACTTGTTAGCGTTATTCTCATATTCAACTACTAACCAAAGTCAAAGAAAAAATAGAGTAGCCAATAAAAGCTATTAAATTAAAAAGCTAAAATTTAAGAGTTAGTAAGTTTTATACAAGACCCCTTCCACATCACAACAACAGCAGTGATTTATAATATAATTATAACTTATAATGCAACCGGTCTGCCAGCGTCGGAATGCCACTCTATAGGGTACAGGTTTGGGCAACTTCAACAGGTTCATGTGGAGCTGTAAAAGTAACCGATACTGCTCCCGCCTTCATGAAAGAACGCAGACCATCTTGAATCCTGGTCTCCTAGTGTTGCAAAGCAGCCATTCTACTTCTCAATTATTATCATGTTCTTTACTCTATTTGCATTCCGAATTTTCAACCAATCGCAATTTTGTGGCATACGCTCGCTTGGGGCAATTGCGACAGAGGTTGGTGCAAATTCGACCCCCACATCGGCAACTTCGACAGGGCTTGTGACAACGGACGTGGGCAACTTCGACAGGGGACAGATATCTTCAACAGTATTAACTAGGTTCTTATTCAGCTTATTGTGCCCCACTCACATGTATACACATACATGCACACACTCTTCCTTTCTCACACACTTAGCTCCTAACATTGCACAGTTCAGTAGTCTAGTCTAAGTTTAAATTTCTGCTAGTTTGTTTCTGACCGGTCTAGGATTTCGACGCATGATGAAAATGATAAAATCAAACAAGATTGAACTGAAATGTGAAAGACAGTTACTCTGTTAATGGTGATTCTGCTTATGAAGCTGGTATTTTGGCTTGGCCTGGAACGAGTCTAACTGATGAATATTTTGAAGCAAGAAAAAAGGCGTGTATAAGAAAGTAGGCCAACCTTAATGACAGGTGAGGCAGGCCTACCGATTTTTCTTCTTCAAGGCAAAAATTATACAGCGATGAGGGAAGGGTGTTTTCTGGAACTTTAAAAAAAACTAAAAATAGAAACAAGCGGAAGCCTAGGAAGCACAAATATTTTGAGAGAGAGAGAGAGAGAGAGAGAGAGAGAGAGAGAGAGAGATTCTAGTTGGGTAGAGGTTCTTCCTATATTGTGAAAATTATTTTGAGAAAGGAGTAAAAAAAAACCAAGCAGATAGTTAGAGAACGTTAGGAGTACGCCATTGGCCGATATTTATAGTAACAGCCATCTTGTTTGACCTATTTTTTAACATACATAAAATTTGAGCATTATCAAGCACTTCGCTAAAAATGAAAAAAAAAAATGCTTAATATACAAAAAATCTTTTTTTACTCCACAGTTTTCTTTTCAGATCAGACAGTGAGACAGTAGGTTGGAAACTTCTTTTGTCTTTTGTCACAATGAAGAACACTATTTTATGGGAAGTGTCTACGTTCTCTAACGTTAGAGACCGTATACTAGAGCGGTGCCCATTCGACTTTACTATTGGACATTCATGAATTTTGCACTATTCACAGCTATACGAAGCGTGGTAGAGCCATTCAAATGCCGTGTGATTTTTAAAAAAAAGCAGATATAGAAATGAATTTTCGCCTCATTTTTCTCAAACTCAAACGTAGAAAAATTGTAGCACTTTATACCTAATAAAATCATTAAGATAAATATACAGAAATACTCTTTATTTCATGGTTACTAGACAGAGTGATAAGAGGAGCCTACAAGAGTTATAAGACAATCCTTCAGAGAATATCTTTTACTATTCAATATTCACTCGTCACTCTATGGACGGCTCAAGCAAGGGCACATGCCTCTTGAAGTGCAGCCAATGTTTTTTTCATGAAGTTAGCTGTCGCAATGAGCTCCCCTAACCCTACTTGAAATTCGAAGCGCTATGAACGGTGACGTGATGTCAACACGTTGCAGTGTGTCTGCGACAACAACATATATACGTGCGCTCAGTGACTGGCATTGAACAGCGCAAGTCAGATCTGGCTGGACTTATCACATGTAAGAAAATACATTTCGACGGCGCTTCGAATTGCGGAAGTTAGATCTGGGCTTAGCTTATATAGAAAAATCATTCAACGGCGCTGTGAATAGCGGAAGTTATATCTGGGCTTATCATTTAAAAGAAAAAAGCATTCGACGGCGCTGTGTATAGCTAGCGAATTTAGAGTAGCGGCACTTAAGTCTGGGTTTATGCTTATCATAATATATAAGAAAAAAACCATTCGACGGAGGTATTCGAATGTCATGAATAGTCAGCTCACCCTTCGAAGCTTCGATGATTTTTTGTTTCTTCAAAATCACACAGTACTACCCTATACCTGTCTACGCTCTCTAACGTTCGGTGCTTCCAATTCTCCGTCATTTTAACATTTTCACCAGACCCTATCTGCCGATCCAATGCCCATCGCGTAATTGAAATTCCCCCACCCCCCATGTCTGTCCCTGCAGGATTATAAGCAAATTTAGATGGCCAAATTAGGCTAAAAAATTGCAAAATTATGCAAGTTACCGTAACACCATTCGCGACATGTTTTGCACTTTTTCAACAAAAATGTTCATGTTTTAAGTACAGAACAATTGAAAATAGAATATCAGTCAGTAATTATGTGTTGTGTATTTGGAAAGAAAACTACACATCAGTCAGAAAAAACAAACAACCAAAAAGTATAATCTCTGTAACTTTCAGCTGTAGATCTACAAACTAGATGATATAGATCTATTCTATTCATTCATCCAGTGCCAGATCTACGACAGACATCGGCGATCATGGTTCTCCATTCATTCCTTTGCTCGGATGCTCTAAAAAAAAGCAACGTTTCCCGATCCTTCCCCGTTACCCATTTGTCTAGGTTACCCAAGAATGTTGTTCTGGGCCTTCCCCTGCCTCGCTTGCCTTCAATTTTGCTAGTGAGAGCCAGGTGTTCAAGACCCTAATATGTCTATTTATGTGTCCCAAAAACTGCATTTTTGTCGTTTCCTGATTGTTTTTAACATTGAGCGACCCACATGGGATTCATCAAGCACTACCTCATTTGATTTCTTTTCCTTCCACGATACTCTTAGCAGTCTCCTAAGAAACCACATTTCTTCTATTTTATTTTCACTGTCTTTAGTGATTGTCCATTATTCACAGCGATATAAAAGGGTTGACCGAACATAGCATTTCAGAATTTTCATTTCGGTGTTCATTGAGATGTTTCTATTTTTCAGGATTGGGCTCATTTTATTGAAACTAGATCTAGTCTAGATCTAGCCTTAGACATTGTAATTCTCCATTTATTTCTGGGGAACATTTGGCATCAGATGTTATCATTTCCGAAGTCCTTCCCTGATGAATGAATGTACTTTTCCATGAACTATTGAACTATTCTTGGGATTACAGCAGTGCAGTTGAGTAATTATTAGTAATAGACTCGAGATCTAGATCTAAATCTATATCTATATCTAGATCTAGATCTACATCTAGACATCTAATCTAGATCTAGAATCTAGATCTATATCTAGATATAGATTCTAGATCTAGATTCTATATTCTAGATCTAGATCTAGAATAGATCTAGATCTAGATTAGACTGATTAGCTTCTAGCGCCTGCCAAAAAATAAACAGGCTGCAAATAGTGTGAGCGTTGATGTGAATCAAACTGAAATCATAATCACCCTCAGCCTGACTTGATTCAAAACAAAACCAAAGACCCAAAGATCCTAAAGTTCGATCTTTGACAAAACTTTGCCTCTATGTCAGTAGGCCTAGGTGAGGTTTCGATGAACTCATTATTGTTGAAGGCCAGCTAACCCAATCTTTCGTTCCGCCGGAAGTAACTGAATATTGTGAAGGGGTTCCATTGCGAAGACAACATAGGCTAAGGCAAAGTTTTGTCAAAGATCGAACTTTAGGGTCTTTTGTTTTGTGTCAAATCAAGTTCCTGTCCATTTATGAAGCTGTTAATGTCAACATTGGAAGGGACATGTTAATTGTACTATTTAGAACTATATATAAAGTATAAGACTCAAAAGATCAACGTAATTGTAAGTTTTGTTCCGTTACAGAGAGCGGTTGATTTTCGTCAAGGTTTTGTTTCATATTTTGGATTGAGTATTATTCCGGATGTTGTGATGGTGTGTCAGGTCAGCAGCTATTGTTTTTTTTAGCACAGCCAGTGTCAACGTATCATCGGGATATCGTAACCTAGGCTAGACTTTACTTCTTGATCTTGTGAGTGGTCCCGAGTATCTCCTTTTCTCGGCCTATTTGAACTTTAGCAGACCACCACTAATATCTAGATTCTAGATCTAGATCTAGATCTATATCTAGATTAGATCTACCCCCCTCCCCTGCATTCTTCATCACTACTAGATCGATCTAGAGTACATCCTGTGGTGCGATATAATACAGTAAGCGATCTTTTGTGGATATCTCTGGAAGTTACAGGTCGATCTTCATGATTTTTTCACCAGAAGTTAGAAAAACTTCCTCTCTATACGGTGTTACGCATTACTGTAACAGCAGTTTAAAATTTCTATATGTTGTGGTGGTGTTTGTTTGGTAACGTGTGTCTGGTTTGGTGCGCAAGGTTTCTGGTTTGGTGCAACATATCGTCTTGTTTGGTGCGCAATAGTACCATGTTTACAGCTCTAGATCTAGATCTAGCTCTTTTCTGACACTTTTCATCTTTCTCTATCCTTGCTTTGTCTTCTTTTCCTTGCAAGAAGTTCCTGTACTGACCATAATGGAAGGCCAAGGTCAATTAGGCGTGTTCTTTTTGGGAGCTGTGCGCCCCCTGACAGGAGATTTCCTTACACCTTGTGTATGTGTTTTGATAATGGATAAAAAGAAAGGTGCTGTGGACACAAGAAGGGGAAAGAAGAAAACAAGAATAAGACTATACCTAGACTAGTATTTTAGAAGGAAAAGGACAAAAAAGAAGAAGAAAAAGACGTGAAAAGAAGAAATTGAAAAAGAAAGGTGCTGTGGACACAAGGAAGTGAAAGAAGAAAACAAGAATTAGACTATACCTAGACTAGTATTCTTTAAGGAAAAGGGCAAAAAAGAAGAAGAAAAAGACATGAAAAGAAGAAATTGAACATTTTGGAGATTATATTTCCATATTAATTAATTTTGACATGAATACATTAACTTATCATCTTCCAATGGCAATATAATGCATCCAAATGGAAGGAAAACAGTCTGTTTCAGTGCACAATGCAGGTCATAGAGAAATAACTTAATAAGTAAAACAAACAAAGGGCCTAGAAGCCACACTATCAATGCCAAATAGCAAAAAAGCCGATATTGCGCACGAAACGGACTGCCCAAATTTGGTCCTCTTCAGTGCGCAACCCTATCTAACACGTTCCGGGGCATTAAGAAGCAGCCTGCGATAGTATTTATCGATTCTAGTATACATCCTACGATACATTAGAGCTAGATTAGCTAGATGTGCTAAATAATCGACTACTCAAGCGCTTAGTAAATTGATCGATACCGGTTACGAAAACCATTAATATGAAGGGGCAAAACTTTCCGACACCGTAGAATCACGTGTGTTGACAGGAACCTCCAAAACGAAAGTGAAATAAGCTGCATTCTGCGCATGCTCACAGAAAATGACCTCGTTTTCGCTGTTCTTATCCAAAACAAAGCAGGAGACCGGGGGTTGCGCACCAAAACAGTAGCGCGGTGATGCGGGCCTACTCTAGATCTAGATAGATCTATATATATAGAATCTAGATCTAGAGGCCACCTCTATTCTCACCCGGAGTGAGAATAGTGCAGGCGAGTCTTGTGGCTATTCTCACCCGGTGCGCGTTCACCAAATTTTGCGTTCACCCTAAACCACAGAATTCTACACTGTGATAACAGAAAAATTGTAGAATTCTGTGCCGTGAACAAACGTTCCATTACAACTGTAACCTACTGAAAGTAAAAGCGTACAATTTTGTCTGTGGGCAGTGGAGAGAGAGAGAGAGAGGAGTAGCGCAAGAATTTCCGGGCAAAACAAAATGGCGACCCGTGTAGTTCGGCTCGATTCGAAAAGTTAAATAGCCGTAGCATCTTTGTAGACAACCAAATTAATTTACTTTTGTGTTTTAACATCATTTTTTAACTTTGTTTTGGTCAATTTGATCGTCCACACCGATAGACAGTATTCAGAAAGAGACAGAGAGAGAGAGAAGAGGGGAGGAGTTGATCTTGCGAGAACTTCCGGGCGGGTGAGAATAGCCACTTTCGTAAAAGCCATTACATTACTAATCTAGAGGGCTAGAGCTAGAGGGCCACCTCCGGGTGAGAATAGGGTGCTTTTTCGGTAGTTCCCACCACATGCGATTAGAAGTAGAAATGATGCAAACTATTTTTAGGTAAGGCGCCCGTCTTGTTTGACGTCAGACCAGGATACCCCTCCGATCACGTGACTACATCTAAGTATAGACAACCGCATGGCACCAAAGATGGAAGTGTCTATGTAGGCCTATATTATGGGTGTCGGATCGGCAGATATGGTGTGGGGGGAAACTAAAAAAAGGCGGAAAATTGGACGCACTGAACGTTAGATCTATAGAACGAAGATGCTTCCTTTTTTCCGGACCCGTGTCCGAATAACATTTTTTCATATTCTCGGACTCGAGTCCGAATATGAACTTTTTTTATTCGGACTCGAGTCCATGAAAAAATATTATTCGGACTCGAGTCCGAATAATGACGGCTTAACAGAAAAATTGTAGAATTATGTGCCGTGAACAAACGTTCCATTACTTCATTACTACTGTTAGCCTAAAAGCGTACAATTTTGTCTGTGGGCAGTGGAGAGAGAGAAAAAGAGAGAGAGAGGAGTAGCGCGAGAACTTCCCGGCAAAACAAAATGGCGACCCGAGTAGTTAGGCTGGATTCGAAAAGTTAAATAGCCGTAGCATCTTTATAGACGACCATGAATTAATTTACTTAAATTATCTTTTGGGTTTTAACATAATTTTAAAACTTTGTTTTGGTCAATTTGATCGTCCACACCGATAGACAGTATTCAGAAAGAGACAGAGAGAGAGAAGAGGGGAGGAGTAGACCTTGCGAGAACTTCCGGGCAAAACAAAATGGCGACCCGCGTAGTTCGGCTCGATTCGAAAAGTGAAAAAGCCATAGCATCCTTGTAGACGATCAAATTTGCTTACTTTTGTGCTATAACGTAATTTTTTCTTTGCTTTTATCCATTTGATCATCCACACCGATAGAAAGTATTCCGAAATTAGGAAAAACAGGTTTTGTTTCACACCGGGTGAGAATAGCCAACGGTGGCAAGTCTCACCCGGGGTGAGAGGTCGATAGTATTTTTATTCTCACCCCGGGTGAGGATTGCCATTTTCTTAACTAGAGTAGATCTATTAATCTACATTTAAAAAAACAAAAAACTACAAAGCATCAAATTATAATTTATGGGACAAACTGTTGGTCGGTGGGGAGGAGGAGAAGAGAAAAAATAAAACTGTCCGGTACCGGGATCGAACCGCTCATAAAATCATTGCATGACTTCAAACACAGACGCGCTGTCTATTCGGCTAGCAGAACTTCCGACAGCGATCTAGGTAGATTAAGCTTAACCCTCGTCCTACGGGGGCCGGGTTTGTGTCGCCCGATAAGCCTATTTCGGCACCTCACCTTCGTCCCGTCAGTGTAGTCCCTGGCACATGCACCGCACATCATCTTACATGAAATTCGGGTCCCGAGTCGGATCCCCATTCACGCAGGTCAAGTGTGTGTGCGTCAGTCTGCTTGAATTTGTGTGCGTTTGTGGCCTTCTTCTAGAACCGCCTGCGTTGGTTCGTAATCGAGGCATGCGTCTCGTTCAAAACACGCCGAGTTGGTAGCTGCTCTCTAGATGTTAGTCCAAAGAAATTATAGAAGAAATTGACCCACTTAGACATGAGGAACTTGAAAGGATAGTCAGGAAACAAGACTTCCATTTTTCTATACAAAATCTGTCAAATGAGCTTGATTTTGTATGAAATGATACTGTACTACCTGATGAAAAAGAAACTTGTTTGATAGTTTTGAATACCATTTTATGCAGGTACAAAGAACAATTTGAGTGCAAAATGTTTGGAAATTGACGTATATTCTCCCGTTTCGAACCTCAGGTCATTCATAACAAAAGAGTGTCTAGAAAGGTTATTAGAATGGGCGTAACTACTCTTAATGTCTTATCAGCTTGTGAGAGGGGGTTATTCATGTGTTTGTAACCCTTTATAATATAGAAAGCTATGAAAGATAGAGCGTTAGTTTCATCATCGATTAACACACTCCCATGGTATTCACGGCGAAAACACACGTTTCCCGGCACGCGCTGTACACCAACAGTACACACTGAATGACCCTGGCGGCCTGCCCGGCACGTCCGACGTAATCGGTTGCTGATAAGATTCGCATCTCAGCACAGATGCAGGACAAGAGTTTTAATATACATAGACACTTTCATCTTTGGTCCCATGCGGTAGGCTATAGATGTAGTCACGTGATCGGAGGGGTATCCTGGTCTGACGTCAAACAAGATGGGTGCCTTACCTAAAAATGGTTTGCGTCCTTCTACGTTTAATCATGTCATAATTACCTAGAGGCACTGAGCAAGTAATGTATAAAAAAGAGAATTAGCAAGTAACCACATCAACCACTTTCGCAAACGTTTTCGACTCCTTCTTGGATGGGTACAAACTTGTCAATCTGCATACTACGAGATTGACCTCTTATCTGATAGGCTGCCAAGTTTCATTCACATCCATTCACGAGGAGGGGCGTGAGAGCAAGTTGAAGACAACAACCATTGCGTTAGTTCGTCCCACGAAACACCCCCGCGACGGAGGCCGAAAATCGGCAGAACAAATGCGCTCGGTGTCCATTACTAGAGAATCATAAAACAAACAAGATTAAACTGAAATGTGATAGTTTGTTAAAGGTGATTCTGCTTTAAATGAATTGGCCCACCCCCTGTTAAAGTTGCCCCATTTCGCCATGTCGAATTTGCACCAACCGCCCACCAAAATCTCACCCCAGCATTTTAAATAAATCATGTAAATTCATTTTATAATCAACATTTCTAATTCTAGATGAACGTAAGGATACCAAAGTTTCGTTATACATGTAACTGATGAATATTTTGAACCAAGAAAACCAGCATGTATAAAAGAAAGTAAATGATGGGTGAGGTACCTATTTTTTTCTTCAAGAGCGAA